CCTAAAAAATGGAAGAGGAAAAGAGTGAGCGAGCTGGTCTGAGCGCGCTACTTTTCAAAAAATAGAAGCTGAAAGCCATCAAAGTCAAAGCATTCTGGCTAGCGCGTTTGTGTACTGTTAAAGGGGAAGTATACCCTAAAATCAAATTTTCACCAGTTGTAGTCTTCTGGGTGCTGAGTCGAATGGTCTTGGTCCGAGGAAGCTGCGACGCTCCCTTCCTACTTGAATCCCAATCGAACTCGCGCACTTCCACCGAAACTGGGTGACTGCGCCCTACGAGATGGGGATTTGTATGCAAAATGTCACTAAAAGCGCCATTTCGTTCTTATAAAAGCACGGATGACCGCGATTGGCCCATATGTTGTAGTCTTTTGGACGCCGAGTCGACTGGTTTTGGTCCGAAAAGACTGCGATGCAGCGTTCCTCCTTTATTCCCAATCGAACATGGTTGAACAAGCGGTCACGTGCTCCTGGGTGCCCAAATCACCTGGTCACCGCGCCAGCAGGCGACAACTTTCACACCAAGGTTCAACTCGGGTTCAACTCGAGTGACAGGACTGTACCCAAAAAAGGTCAAACAGGCTAGTAAGTTGTACCCTGCAGGCACGGTGACCAGCTGACTGGTGTACGCAGGAGCACGTGACCGCTTGTTCAACCATGTTCGATTGGGAATAAAGGAGGAACGCTGCATCGCAGCCTTTTCGGACCAAAACCAGTCGACTCAGCGTCCAAAAGACTACAACATATGGGCCAATCGCGGTGATCCGTGCTTTTATAAGAACGAAATGGCGCTTTTAGTGACATTTTGCATACAAATCCCCATCTCGTAGGGCGCAGTCACCCAGTTTCGGTGGAAGTGCGCGAGTTCGATTGGGATTCAAGTAGGAAGGGAGCGTCGCAGCTTCCTCGGACCAAGACCATTCGACTCAGCACCCAGAAGACTACAACTGGTGAAAATTTGATTTTAGGGTATACTTCCCCTTTAAGTCCATCGGCCAAGTCTCAAAATCGAAAGTGGTGATGCACTGAGCTTCCAACTAAACGCGACCATACCCAGCACGTAGAGAATATATCAGAGAACACTATTCCGTTTGTTGGACGTGCCGAATTCAGTCCAGGGCGTCGATACGAAGCGTTCTTCGTCGCCGAGTTTTTTACTGTGCGCTCCATTTGAGAGTGCGCAGAGTTCTGATCGAGAGTTTTTTGAGCAGATTTTCAAATTTTTGAGGCTGTCAGCTGACAGCTGTCAACCCTAAATGGCACTTAGTATGTGACAGGCAATAGGTTTTGGTGCCTCCGTATGCCTTCTAATAAGTTCTATCTTCCTTCGTTTCACTTCGCTGCTTCGCCCACCACCTCAGGAGATGACATGCCCGCGTACCTGCACTAGTCAGCTCTCGCTAACCCTGTCTCTCTTTCTCCGTCTTAGCGCTCGTCATTCGTGTCCTTCTGCTGGGGCGAGCTTGATACTGTTGTGTCGTAGTTTTTAGGCAATAGTGGCTGTTGTTCGCGTGACGATCAGGATTTATGGAGAAAGACGACGACTCGCCAAGTTCCCATGCAGCCACAGACGGCGTAGCAATTCTTACCGCCAACCCTTCGAGCAACGGAACCGGCCTGAGTTGGAAATCGTGTCTGTGTAATTGTGCCACGATACGGATGAAACACACAGGCTCACATGTGACGAGATGAAGATAATCTCAACAGGCTGACGGAAATCCAACAGGCTCACGGGAACGCTGCAGTTATGGTCGGAGACGCGGAGTTATTTAGTCACTGGTAAATGTTGCATCGAGTGCTGTGTGCTCTAACACAATTGTAAAAATCATGAAAAAGCGAAAATAATGCAATGGTGGGGCTGAGTGGTGTTCTGTGGAGGAGACGTCGCTGTCTCAGTATTCAACGCCGGACCCTGTATTTCAAGTCTGTGGTCATGCTCGATCATAAGTTCCTGTATGGTTCCAGTGCCTTCTCAGCATTGTTGGCGGGTAAGCACCTGGATCGTCTCCAAGTACTGCGGCTCTGGTGGCTTGAGGGATGTACGGGTGCTCGCCGTGCACCCCTGCCGGCAATCTGCTAGTGAAGCTTGGTACCTACTGTGTCCGGGAGATTTTCATCCAGAAGCTGATCTTCCTAGGCTGGAGCTGCTGCTACTCTTGCAACATGTGCTAGCCCTCAACCACTGGCGCTCCTACTCGGCTCCAGTGTGGGCCATTAACCACCCTGCCCGATTTCGCACTGTTGCTATTCCACACCGTCAGCATTTAACTCTGAGGTCAGACCTTGATCCCTCCCACCATATGCTATCTGTCTGTCTGCCTCTCTCTCACACACAAATGTGCGCGCATACACACAAACACACATACACACACACACATGCACACACAGTGACACAAACATACACATAGCCAACTTCTCTGTGTTTGGTGATCATCATCTGTTTTCTGATGTGCCAGCTCACCTCTGATGCCGATTACTTCCTTGCTTAGACCCGGTCTGCTATTAGACCAGTCTGCTCTCCCTTCACTCGCTCGTAAATCCTACTTGGAGCAGTAAGGTTGTGTCACTGCTTCTACTGATGTCATTGTTGTGAAAGCAATATCATCGCCATTGGTGGTAATTTTCCACCGTGCATGAATCATTAACAATCATCATCTATGTGTCACGGCCTAACCATCCTCGTAACTCCCCTCACCGTGACTAGTGCTGTACCGTTGAAACCTACTTTGCTTCAGTGTATATTCGCCCCGGGCAAAGCTCTTGTTTTGTTGCATAGTGATCTGACGCAGTGTGCTATAGCCTGTCGGGTAATATGGATAAGATTAGTACAGTCGGCATCGCCTATCGAGTGACCAGGTACATGTATAAGGATACTAGTACATGTATACCGGCTTAACGATATCGGAACACAAATAGCACTATGTGTGCAATATTCCTTTCTAAGCTCACGCTGTGCGGTGCAGATAGGTCATGTGTCGTTGCCAACTTGCCGCATGTGCATGTGCAGCAGGAAGGCACCACATGTCGACTACTACTAGTACTTATACTGTACAGCATTGTGTGCTTACATGCATCTACGGCCTTGTGGATGCAATTGAGTCTCACATACATGTACATGAAATATTGCGTGTAGTGCGGCATCAGGTGTTAACATACAGTGGCTAAATATTTTTCTCGCAATAATGACCGTATTCACCACAAGTGTGTTTATGTCCAGAGCCAACTCAAGTCCTGTATTATTTATGACCATGACAATAAGACTTCCGGGCTGAAATTCTTCTATGACAGGCATGAGCACTTGCCTTACAATCATGAATTATTCGTGATTGTACGAAGTACATATTCGCTGTTGCATCAATTTTGCACCATTTACATTGTAGTGCCACTAGTGGTATCACCTGCATGCGTATTGAGTCAAACAAGGTTACCTCTGTATAATTATGCTTATCGTGGCTATCAAGAGCTTCGATGCAAATTCCCAGCTGACGAATGGTGTCCAGCTTGTGTTCAGCTCAGCTGGCACTCACAACTCATAATAATTGCGTTCTAGACGCCAGATGAGATGTTTCAGCTACAATGTAGACACAACGTCCGTGTTCAAGGAAGCCGTCACTTCATCTTCTGTCCATCCTCAATAGCACGTTCAAGCAAATACGTCTGAAACACAGTAGCGACAATCCGACAGCGGCGACACGCCATCTTCTCCGAATGAGCTTCTACCGTTCTAATTCAGATTCCCCCAAAAATGTCAAAATAAATAATAGATTTCCACCAAGCTCGCTAGAATCTTGCGAACCGTCAACATGCAGGCATTTCAAGTGTTCGAGCGTGCGTTGGTTTTGCTCAGCGGCTCAAGAACATTCGCCAAGCGAAAAAAAGTCGATGAGAAAGATGTAATGGTGGACGAAATTACGAAAATCGGAAGAAGGTATTCGACCCAGTTCGACTATCCTGGACTGGATTGGCAACGTCCAACAATCGGATTCGTATTCCATGGGGTCTCATGAGCTAGTGTGCCAAAGGGCGTTTAGTTGGAGCTTCAGTGCATCACCTTCGCCGAAAGAGGCCCTTTCTGAGATTTGGCCGATGGACTATGTATGTCACGAGCGCTAGCGCGCTAGTCGCAGCAAACGCTCGCAGGCCAGAGTTAGCGCTATTTGGGCTGTTTGCCGCACGCGGCAGCTGGATGGATCACGTGATCCAAGCTGACAAATAAGGTCCGATGGTTCAGCTACATTGAGCCACAAGCCTCTCCAAGTGTTGTATGATCTGAAAGAAGAATGTCAGTGCGCAAGTGGTGGGGGCCGGGGATTGTATTATCTGCATTTTGACATACATATCATATAATGGGATCCATATATGGTCGCGCGGTGCAAACCTCTAACTAAAGACCACCTGCCACTAACGACCACTTTTCCGGGCACCAAGGGGTGGTCGTTAGTTACAGGTTTTACTGTAGATCTACCATGATCATCATGGTAGACGAGTGTAGACTGTAGCCTTGTACTTAGTTGTAGGCTTTAGTAAAGTAAGTTTAGACAATGTAGACTGTATTGTACTATTTGTAGTGATTTCGACTACATGTCATTGTGTAGTTCGGGCTGGGATGTGATGCCACGCCGACAGATCAGGTGATACTGATACTGTGATAGGTGCGAAGGTAACTGGTTAGTCTACGCTGTGCTTGCAAGGCTCATCGCTGATCAGATTTTGATGTTAGCTGTCAACTACCTATGTAACTGACTGGTACGACTTTCACCCATGGCCCAGCGCTGCATGTTCTTGGTACGGTCATCGCCATGTACGTATGTGTACAACCGGAATCAATGGGGCGGATACTAGTAATACGCCTCGCTGGTGATAAAAAAAAGGCAAGTCCTTTTCAGAAACAATAGTCTCATGGGCAACTGAACAGTAACCAGTTGTTCCGATATTATTTTGTGGTCACAATACCGGTACAGAGAGTGCTCTCTTCTTTTGCAGTTTTGGGCATCATCGACGCACGCTCCGTATCCGTGGTATATCCAGTGCCTGATGAAAACTCCCAGAGCAATACAGTGTAATACAGTAGTACTTCTGACGTAGAATACTTAGTAGCTCCGCAAGGCAGAGTGTAGGAGGATGGCGCGGAGCCTCTGTTCGCTAGTACTGGTGTTGTGGGCGGCCAGTGCGACCCTCCTACAGCTACAACTCCGCACGGCCAGCAGCGCGGCAGTCCCAAACGTTCTTATGCTCATCGTTGACGATCTCCGTCCAGAGCTGGAACCGTACGGTTTCAACAGTATAAGGTAAAACAATAGTTAGGCTTTGAAATGAATCATTGAAGATATTCCCCAACTGCATCTCACCTACGTAGATTCTACGTGCATGTAATGTATCCACTAAACCGTGACTAAAGCCTAGGCTAAAGTAAAGGGTTAGCTTGGGAACACGTTCAACGTCCAAATGCAACCTTCCTGGAAAATCAATGGCAAGAAAAAGGAGAAAGTTCTCAGTAACTGTTCAGGGCTCGCACCTGTACAGGGCCTAGGGCTCAGTGAACATGGTGAACTGCAATGGGAAAATGGCAAGGAAATGTCATGTAGAGTGACTACAAAGCAACACTTGAACTGCAATTAGGGAAAATACATGTAGCCTTGTAGGACGAGCCAGCTCGGTAGGCACTGCACTTACTGGTAGCCGTGATCATGCAGTGCAGCTGGGATACACTACCTCGTGGAACTCATGTGAGTCATGTTACTGTAATAGTTACTATAGTGCAGCGCTCCTAGATGAAGTCCGCTGGCGTGAATCAAATACTGTACATACTACATAGTATACGGAGCGGCGTGCAGCCCTCGACATGTGAACAGTGGGTTATGAACCGGTGCAGGACGCAAACCTGACTCACTCGCGGATTGGATTTCATCGAGCAGCATCATACTCCCCCCCCCCCCCCCCCCCCCCCGGGTCCATAGTAAAGAGTTGACTCCTGGTGCAGCGAGCCCCAATGGTAGCCAGTGCAGGCTGTCGTAATAAAACGACTCATCCGTGTTCCATTCCCGTGCATGGTACATGCATGGTGCGACGGCACAATGACAGCTGTCGCAAATCACACTGAGTATTACACGTGTTTGTTGGTGATTCCTGGTTAGCTGCTAGCTTTTCCCTACTCGAAGATGTTGCCGCCGCGAAATCTAGGGGTTTGTGTTCGTCCTGGCGAAAACCGTGTTTTGATCCGTTGAGGGAGAAGAGAGATACAGTGCGAAGACGTACGATCTGTCCGAGAATCGGCGAAGAAGAAAGCTTCGCAGACGACCCGTAGTGGTTGGGAACAGAATGGAACATATACCAGTCGATGCCTGTCATGGTAGGGATGACTGCTACGAAGTTTTAGCCCCATGCTCCCCAGCGCTTTTTAGCGCCCGACGATAATTACCAAATTTCATCGATTTTCCATGTGGATCAAAGCATAGTCCCCTCAATCCTCTCCAGTCGAGCTAAGTCTGGACGCTACAATGTCGAGACGCGAAAAGAGAACATGCATGAACACACAGGAGCATCACATGCAGCTGCATTCTGCCTTGACGAAGCTGAGAACAACACCGGCACCACGCATTTGGAAGACATTTCGAAGAAGACGAAGAACTACATATCTGCGTTCAAAAAAGCCTCTGTACTGTGCAGTATGCATGCGTGCATGCGCGAAGCACGGGGTCCGCGGATCAACTTCGTTCAAAAATCATTGTGCCACACGGGTTGTATGATTTGTGTGCGATCATGGCCTTTCTTCTTGACAAACAAAACTGAAGTTTTTCGATCTTCAAATCGCCATAGCGTCCTTGTCATGACTCCAAATCAGCTGAAACTGTGCAGAAGGAATGAAAATGCCATGCTGAATCGATTGGTACCATTTTCGAAGGGTTTCCTTGAAAAATAAAATTTAGCCTGCACTGGCTACCAATGGGCAGGAGACCTTAGTTCCACTATACGAGTACATGTTGAATACCTCCATGACCTCTGCTGCATGTAAGGAGGGGGGGGGGGGTAGATCTATTGGAAGCAACGAGTCTTTATCCCCACCCCAAGGGTACTATGGAACTCTTTCTCCAACCTATGGGGCTCTGCTTGGTGCATTGCCTCCGCTATGTACATGTACATGTAAGTAATAATAGCTATGAAAAGCATGAATGCCGCAGACATCACCACGCAACATGACAATTTGTTCAAGGTTTGGTTTTGTGTGTTTCCAAAATCGATTTTCACGCTCCGATCATCAGTGGAAATACGGAACTAAAGAGATCAAAGGTTAAAAATCCAAAGAAGTGTGACACATGACGGGTAACTTGTGGTAAGTATTACAAAAAGTGAGAACTAAAATAAAGAGTAAGTGACGAGGCGGCGGATGACGACAAGGCGGCGGATGACGACGAGGCGGATGACGATGAGACGGCTGGTGGTGATGGTGATAAAACGGACGAGGAGGAGTCAGGTGGTAGGGAAGGTGATGGAGCTGATGAGGGTGAAATTCGTAAGAAGTCAGCTGTGTTCTTGCATTTGTTATCTCGTCCCGATTGTTTGAGTGTTTATGATGATTCCCACTTCTCTGTACTGTGTCGTGCCCGTTATGTCCAGCAGTTGAAGGTCCTTGAAGCTGTTTGTATTCGTACGCATAAGCCCGATTTGTGTAAGCAAAAAGAACATGTTTTAGCACTTAGGTTATTTTTCGTGAGTTTGCACCCCGTGTTCATGAGTTGTTTCTGCACTGTTCATGCCCGGTTGTCACACTTACTCTTTATTTTAGTTCTCACTTTTTGTAATACTTACCACAAGTTACCCGTCATGTGTCACACTTCTTTGGATTTTTAACCTTTGTTTTTTCCCTTGATCTCTTTAGTTCCGTATTTCCACTGATGATCGGAGCGTGAAAATCGATTTTGGAAACACACAAAACCAAACCTTGAACAAATTGTCATGTTGCGTGGTGATGTCTGCGGCATTCATACTTTTCATAGCTATTATTAAACTTTTATCTCCACGTAGATTACATGTAAGTAAAGTTCTCATTTCCGTGCTTTGTCTAGCAGGCTGGTGCCAGGAGGGGTTTGGATAATGGAGGTGTTAGGGCTCAGGATTTAAGGTGGGGGGGGGGGGTAGTGGGACTGGACATTGACAGCAAGTACTGTTAGTCTACTAATTTTCGGCCCATTCAAATTTCGGCCTCCCGGGGCGCAAAACCCATTTCGGCCCATTCAAATTTCGGCCTCCCAGGGCTAAAACCCATTTCGGCCGCATCAAAATTTCGGCCAAACATGACCAGGCCGAAAATAGCCGAAAATAAATATGCACCGAATATCTGTGGACTTACAGTATCCCAGCATTCTCACAGGTAGTCTAATAAAAGCAGAATTTCTTAAATCTTTCAACAAATCATACACTTTCCGTAAAACTCTCAGACTCCATTGCAGCGTAGTTTTCACATCGGAAAAATTAATATCTCCATTGCACACCGTACATAACAGGCTCTCAGCTGAATCGAATATCATACACTGAAGAAACTATACACACTTACGGTCCTGTTATGCCACTCGAAGACTGAATGAACGGTTAACACTCACCAGAGCACAAGTACTAGTTACAGTGATACAGCACTGCATCGGATAATTCACGCATTGCAGTACGAGAGCGATTAAATCTGCTATTATACTGTTTTGACAGCTCACCAAACATTAAGGACTTTGCCAAGACGGCAGCACAATTCAACAGTGCGTACTGCCAGTATTCGTTATGCGCGCCTAGCCGCTCGTCCTTCCTCACTGGTCTACGTCCACAGACTACACAGGTAAGAGCTAAAGTCTTACTTGTATCATGATTCTTTGAGTTTCATTATGCTTTTCCTCAATGCCATGCTCAGATGCATGACCGATGGAGTTAAATAATGGTACAGTCAGACCTCGCATAACCGCACACATCCGTTTTCCACAAAAATATCCGGATAGGCGAGGGAACCGGATAATCGAACACACATACTGTATGTATGCATGGCATATGCTGTGAATCGGTAACCAACGATTTTCTTCCGGATGGCGAGGGATCCGGATAAAAGAGGACCGGATAAGCTAGGTCTGACTGTACCATATTTTCCATAGTATAAGCCGCACCCAGATTTTTTTGTCGCGAAAGACAGACATCTACCCTATTTATCACCCTGAGTATAAACCATGCACCTTTTCAACACCAGTATAAACCATGCACCTTTTCAACACCAGTATAAACCATGCACCTTTTCAACACCAGTATAAACCATGCACCTTTTCAACACCAGTATAAACCATGCACCTTTTCAACAACAGTATAAACCATGCACCTTTTCAACACCAGTATAAACCATGCACCTTTTCAACACCAGTATAAACCATGCACCTTCTCAACACCAGTATAAACCATGCACCTTTTCAACACCAGTATAAACCATGCACCTTTTCAACACCAGTATGATTCACCCAAAAAAGGTCGGTGTTTATACTCCGGAAAATATGGTAACATAAGTCTTGCTGGAAGAGGGGAATTTAGAATACAGTAAAACCTGGTTTAAGAGACCACCCCACGGTGCAAGCAAAGGTGGTCGTTAAAGCCAGGTGGTCTTTAGAACCAGGCCCCACAGTGTCTGTGTAGTACTGTCGGTGCATGGAAAAACGGTGTTTACTGTAGTTAGCTGGGCACCCGTACAGTTTAAAGTTGTCCTGTGCAGCCTGATAAACTTTGATTGACCAGGCATGTTATTGAGGTGGAAAATAGAAGATGGTGCTAAGATGATGTCAGAAGCAGCTGTATCTTTGTTCAGGTAACTGTGGACACATAACAGTAGAGATACCTCTATTTGGCCACAAGTGAGTTGCAGGATTCCCATTAAAACTCTGTGATGGTGGTGGTGGAATCCACATTATGATCATACAGGGGGGGGGGGGGGGGAGGGGGGGGGGGGAGTTATAGACGCGCTACAGCTGAAAGTCGACTCATCCCGGAATGAACATCTTCAGGCTAGCGTTAGTAATGCATCACAAATTCATCCCGGGACGAACAACTCCATGCAAACAGGCTCTTAGACCTTGTAGTATTCTTTCATCTCCAGTCCAAAACAATAAGAGTCCAAACTCAACTCATGCACAGAAACCAAAAGCCGCGAAGTCCGTTTCACTCGCGCACGGGAAACGACACATGCATAACATAACACAATGTACATGTACTACATTATTACAGGGTGCGACAGAGCTCTCGGCCATTGAAGAAAATGTTGAGTCACCTCCACCATTACACTGCGCTCTTTAGCCTCAGCTATGCCAGTTGTGTATGTGGAAACCCCCCATATAATAGCAGTTTGGTCTATATTTTTAATCATTCAACATCTACCTTCCCTGATGAGCTATGTATTAGCGAAACAGCTGTCTGAAGGAGTTTATCAATATCGTCTACGGAAGTGTCCTCGCAATGGTGATGGTTGTGTGCTAGTCGGCTAAAGAGCGCAGTGTAATGGTGGAGGTGACTCAACATTTTTACATGTACTACTACACAAGTATCATGGATGTCCGGGGTGGCCAAGGAATGCCACAGCGCCGCGTATATAGACCTGGACACTACAGACCTATAGCAATAGAAGGCTAGAAGCAATTATCAATTTGCACTGTGCCGCCATTACGCAACACATGCATATGCTTGAGCATAAACAGCAAACGTCCCTCAGTATCGTTCTCTTGTGAGTGGGTAACATCTAGATTGTTTTCTGTAAAGTTCTCCCCTCTGTTTTAGTGTTAATGGTAAGCTCTTCCTGTTTCTCTGATATATCCTAGCCCTCACTTAGTGAGTTGGTTTTGCACTTGCATCTAGGTCTTTGATGCACATAGGTACTTTCGCAACACGCCAGGCCTAAACAACACCGTGACCCTGCCGCAGTTCTTCAAGAACCAGGGCTATCGTGTAGCTGGCGGTGGCAAGATTTTTCATCCAGGTTTAGCCTCAGGTAAGCCGATGTGTTTGTTTGGGGTGTGAGTCTGCTATGTATTTCACAATACACTGTGCAGCAAACATGCTCAAGGTAGTACGTACCCGGACAAGACATATGCAGTGCTGCCAAATAATTTTTCGCCCAAAATCGGACACCCTTCATCGCCAAGGCTGGCCATGTGGTGCGAATTTTTCTCCACCGCAACATTTTCCGGAGAATTCAAAATACCGTCCAAAATACCATGGAAATTCGCTTCATTGCCATGGTAACCGATCTTGCACACCGAAGTAATTGGTTGCCAAGCCTGAATTTTGTAATCCTGGTAATGCATGAGTGTGGTCACGCACTGTACAGTAGCAGTAGTAGTAGTAGTAGTAGAATTTATTATTTTACTAGCGAACTCCCAACAGGCGTTGCCTTTTTACTGGGAACCCTAGGAATGACTTGGTGCTTGTGACAAATGCAGAAAGGGGCTTAGCTTGACGACATCCAGGTGGAAGCATGTTCCATCTGTCTGCTGCCAAAAATGAAATAGCATTCAGGCCGTAACGAGACGTAGCTCTGGGTAGGTTCAGAGCGGCTGAAGCTTGACCGCGGGTAGCAGCATTTGTGCGGCATGATGCAGAGCGGGGGGTAAATATCGTGCTTAAAAGAGGACTGGTGCAACGAGATAGACACCTAAAAACAAACACAAACAGCTTCAAGTTTACACGGCGAGAGAAAGTATACAGGTTATATTTGGTGAGAATGAAATCGATAGAAGTATACTGATCATGGCCAAAAACTCGCCTTAGGCACCTATTGCTGGTTGACTCAAGTTTGTCTCAGTGTACATGCCCTCGTACTTTGCACTTCCACCGCCAAGCGCGAGCCTTTTTAGAAGCACATGACAGTGATTTGTGCCTTCAGTTGCGCTGAAAAGTGAAAATACAGCACTTCTGAATAGGAAACTACTGATCCCTGACATTTTTGGCTACTTTTCGGACGTTTCCTTTTTCGGACCGGTTTTCGGAAGAGCCTTCAAAAATCGGACGGTTTGGCAGCACTGCATATGTACACTTGCGTTACATAGACACTTTTGAGGTGCACGTTTTTGCCATACGCGCACACAGACCCATTTGGATTGAACATAATATTACGACGTATACACATCGTGTGTGACGCCCTCAACATGCTGGCTTCAGATATCATCTATTTATCACGCTTCAGACTCTTGATAGGGCTCTGGGTGCGTGCCACCAAAGCGAGCTTGACAATGGATGAGAGCCGCTAGCCGACTGGATAATGATTTGATCCTTTCCACAGTTTCCAGTCTTTGGTGCTGCGTGCAGCATCACAAATACAGTAGCGGGGCAAGGACACTACCCTTTCATTGCTCAATTACAGGAAATTATGAATTCTGACACATTGTGTGTACCTGGTGTTAGTCTTGCTAACTCAAGTTTGGATAAGAACTTAAGAAGTACAACGTAAGTTATTCCACTTTTGCTTTTGATGAGCACTTAGGCAAATCCACAACGAGCACAATACCAGTAAATACTGATAGCTATCACCAATGCACTGCTGAAGGCCTTGGGGCCCCTGCATAGTGACACGTCTGAGAGTATAATTATAATGTAAGGTCAGACAAATGCAATTTGTAACACCCCCCCCCCCCCTCTCCCCCCTCTCCCCTCATAATCACTGCTTCACGGATCTCCTGGCTTGCTTCGTTTTCTGCTGTGTGCTGCACTGTAGGGGGTGATAACGATGGCGTCAGTTGGACAGAACCGTATTACACAGCACCAGGCAAGCACAGATTTGAGGCGAAAACCGTATCATGGCAGGCGCGCAGCGAGGCCGAATCCGACTTTCCCGACTACAAGGTAGCCAGCAATGCTATCCAGCAGCTGCAGTCACTGAAGAATGACAAGTTCTTCATTGCCATGGGCCTGCACAAGCCTCACCTGCCGTTCGTCTTCCCTCAGTCCTATCTCAACTTGTACCCTGCCTCAGTGCCATTGGCTTTTGACACAAGTCCTACAGTAGGTAAGTCATGGACATATCCTGCCTACACTGCAGCATATTATTACATGGGTCAAAACGGCTACCTGTCCGGGGATTAAAGTACATCGTTAGGAATACGGGTTTGGAGTGAGCATTCAGACAGTGTCAGTATGTATCAGCTGCGAGTTAGGACAGGCCAATTCATAATAAATATCCCCATACATCACAACCTGCACTGCACCTGTTTGACATGTGCCCGACCCATACATTACATCATGAAATAAATAAATTTCACGGTTCTGAGACTCAGCTGGAAGCCGAGTTTTCCGCATCCGCTGTGGGAACGCCACCACCCTCTAGGATCAAGGCGCAGATGCAGCTCCTAAAGCGGTGGGAGGTGAGTAGATCAGACCCACCACCAAGTGGTCAAAGACCGAAATCCCATTAGCTGCATCCATGTTACCCTCATGCCAGGCCACGAGTTCCCAATTAACTGTGGGTCGCAGCACGGCTGGAAAAATTCCTTCCTCTTCCAAGCAGGACTTGAACCTGGTACCCTCTGTTTCTCAATCATGGTCTTAGACCATCTATGCTTGCCTGCATCATTGCAGGGAAACCAATTGTCCTGAAAGACCACCTGAAAGACCACCTGTCCTGAAAGACCACCTGTCTTGAAAGACCACCCGTCCTGAAAGACCACCTGTCCTGAAAGACCACCTGTCCTGAAAGACCACCTGTCCTGAAAGACCACCTGTCTTGAAAGACCACCTGTCTTGAAAGACAACCTGTCTTGAAAGACAACCTGTCTTGAAAGACAACCTGTCCTGAAAGACCACTTGTCTTGAAAAACCACTCACACCAATCCCCGTATCGCATCACGCCATACATTCTAACTTGTGAAGGAAGACCAACTGTCTACAAAGACCAGATATTTCAACTGCGAAATCGAATGGGTATACTGGACATATTTGCCGTCATTAACTGTGATCCGGGTAGTTTGAGCACCTATTTGAACCCAGAAATGTTTTCTTGCTACTCAACAAGTATGCAAGAGTTAATATACTTGCGCTTTACACGTTTTGTGTGTGTTCTATGTTTGCGTGAATGGTTCTGTACTCATATGCCAACATGTGCGTATGTGTATGTGTGTGTGTGTGTGTTCTGTGAATGCTTCTGTACTCATGTGCCAACATGTGTGTGTGTGTGTGTGTGTGTGTGTGTGTGTGTGTGTGTGTGTGTGTGTGTGTGTGTGTGTGTGTGTGTGTATGTGCACGTATGTGTTTTGCACTGGGGTACCCATCTCATCGTGTGACCAAACACACGCTCAGGACTACACAATGTCGCCTGGAGTAACTATGTGGAGTTGCGCGGTTACACGGATATCAAGAACCTAAACCTGAACATCGGCCAGGGAGACTGGATGCCTAACGCAACGGCGATGGCGCTGAGGAGAGCGTACTGGGCTGCAACGTCCTTTATTGACGCCCAGGTATGCTAGGTACAGTACACGAGGGATGTGCATCTAGTGTGCAAAGAGTGCTCAGAATGCCGTGGAGTCAGAGCATAGCACAGTCAAACAGTGGACAGAAAATGCTCTGTAGTTGCAGCTAAAGTATCATGCACCTAACATTACAATGTATGCACCAGGGAGTCGGAAAGTACCGACATTTTACGACTCCCTGGTATGCACTGACTACAGTGATGGTCAGTGAAATCCAACCTCATGAATAAAGTAGCGCCGCGTTCGAGTGCACAGACCAGTATGTGTAGTGCTAGGGCTGCGTAGCGCCCGGCGCTATTTTATTCATGAGCTTTGGCCAGCACTGTAGTTACGTAGCGTAGTAGTACTCACTAGCCTAGTACTTCAATGCCAGGTTCCTGCCTTGATCAGATTGGTAGTCACGTGACTAGTCACATTGGTACTTTTTGGTAGCCACTGAGTGCATTACCACAGGTCACATGACAACGTTCCAATAATCATGTGACTGATCATGTGACTGTTGCTGATAAACGTGATAGCCCTGTGAACTCTACTCCTCGGACCCCCCCCCCCCCCCCATACCTCTCCCTCGCCGCAAAGCTTTGAGGCTCCGTGCAGTTTCGTTGACTCAGAAGATGAGTCCGCATGTCCGCCCAACCCGTCTGACCAACTAACTTTTTTTTTCTTGTCCTGCCCTGTTTATCCCCTCTTCCTATACGCAGGGCCTATGCAGTATAGGAAATTATGAATACAAACCAGCAGCAACAGTATGTTCCCTTAGAAATGAATGAATGCAAAGCAATTAGTAGATCTATGTGTCCAGGAGTTTCTTGTTGATTGATACGTCCACCCGTGTGCACTTCACTGGGTTTGTTAACCTGCAGATTGGTCGTGTGCTGGCTGAACTGAAAACGCTGGGTCTCGACAAGAACACAACCGTGGTGCTGATGAGCGATCACGGCTGGCATCTAGGCGATATGGGAGAGTGGGCGAAGGGAACTACATTCGAACCGGCCAATCGCGCTGTTCTGATGATCCGTGATCCATCGCGGCCCACCTCCGCCGGCACCAAAATCGACACCAGCGTCGAGTTGCTCGATGTCTACCCCACACTTGCGGATATCGCTGACTACACCGCTCCAGCTGTGCTGCAGGGAAAGTCCCTTACGCCACTGCTCAACGGAGGAGGTGCTGCGCCGCCGTCCACGTGGAAAGACGCGAGTTTCTCGCAGATCCTGATCAGCACGAATCGGTACGCGACCGACCCGGCAATGGGCTACACAGTGAGGACGAGTGACTGGCGCTACACCGAGTGGGTCAGGTATAACACTAGCACCGGCGTCACTGACTGGAATTCCCTGGTGGCCCGCGAGCTGTTCGACCATCGCCTTGACCAGAAGACCGCCTTTGGCTCCTCGGAGAGAGTCAACCTGGCTGAAGCTCAGCAGTTAGTCTCCACACGCATGCAGCTCAGCACCGTGTTGAGGACGCAGACTGCTCTGGAGCTATCCAGCAAGCCAACGTCGGTATCAGCCCCGCTAACAAGCCAGCCGTCATCGGGAAGCTCGGCGTCGTCCCGGAGCGGGACGTCTGCACCACGCGGCACCCCCTCGAGTGCTGACCGTGTTGCCACGCACTCTCTGCTTGTTCTCAGTCTTGCTGGCCTTCTGTGCCACTTGCTTTGAGACTGTTTCAGCCCAGCGTCCGGTGGTGACGCCTGAGGCGGCCACTTAGATTTCTTCACTCGTGACTCAACCACATTGCCGAGGGCACCCCGTGATTCAACCATGAACAACTTACCCGTGAACATATGTAACTAGAACGCGAAAGTTGAGAGTGTGTCAACATGATAACTGACGATACAGTGGTGTAATATCTACATGCTTTTGCTTTTTATCCTGAGATAGCGGCATTTCCCCAATATATGAACTCAACCAAATTTGTAATTGCAGTACTGAAGTACACGTTCAATGTACCGGTATATTATTATTATTATTATTATTATTTGTGCTCCCGCGTCAATGGGCTCGCCCAAATTCGCTTGCACCGAACCATGCGAAAAAAGGCCGCCAGCAGGCAGGCAGGCAAAGAAAAATAGAAAACGGTGTCACATAAACTAATACAAACAAGAATATCATTATTGATGACATTAATATACTGAATGAATGGCAAAGGCCATGTGAATACGGATAATACGGATAATCAGAGTACCAACAACAAAGAATGTAGCTCAAACCATTGCAGTGCCAACTTCCTTCACCAGTACTCTGCCTTGTACGCATCTGTAACTGCGTTGCACAGATATGTCCATTCACGGCGATCCAGTGCTCGCTGAGTCATCAGCTGCAAGTCCCTTGGAGTCCTCAGACGGCAGCCGACTCGCTCCGCGTCTTGACCGGTATATGCTGAAGTGAATATTTCCCCGCCATTTTTAACTTAGTGGGTGAATCAACTGTGCCCCCCCCCCCCCTCCACATTATGCTAGCAAGACTTTTTCTGACATTTTGATGGGACATAATTTTTTCATGTATAATTACATGTATGTGATGTACAATACCCTCAATGAGAACATGTACTATGTACATGTCACTTATTTACAGGCAACTAATTTCTTTGCGAGTAACAGCATTCGGCCAGTGTTCTTATTCAGGAAATCCCATTTGAATGCAGTACAATAACATGAAATCAGATTCACCCTCAGTGTGGACTCAGATTTGTGTTACTAGTACATGACCAGGGCAAACTGGGCCAAAGCAGAACTTTGTCGTTTGTGTGCGGCTTTGTGTAGCTAAAGGAGAATCAGTTGAGTTGTCTAGTGACTACACTCCATGGATTATACAGACAGCTGATCTCCCATACTAAGTCTTGTACTTACTCCCAGTCTGGAATGGCCAGGCCAGGGCATCAGCCATGTCAACTGATATCACCAGAACTGAGTTACCATGGTTTCTAGGCAAGTTAGTTCCAGGCCCGCCGGAACGGGTCCCGTTGGCGTTGGTCAGGTCACCGACCAAACTTTCGGCCACCAACACAGTCATGCTTCCGGCGGTCCTGCTTGCGGATCGGAAGGTCAAGGACTTGGATCTGTTTCTTTGAAGAAACCAAACTGACCGGAGACAGTCTTTCCATGATCCATGATCCACCGACTAACGTAACCGTGTAGCCTGTACTGTACTGTAGTCATGGTAGTGTAGTGTAGCTAGTACTGTGGCCTAGGTAGATTATGCCGAAACGATGCCACACACAAGCGATACGATACGACCGGGACATCGCTGATATATTCGGCGATGGTGTCTTCTGCGATTTATACTAGTAGTAGTAGTAGTGCTGCGAGCTGAGAGACTGGCACCGTCAAACTGTGGCCGCGCGCGGCTCCATCTCGTCTTTGGTCAAGCCATCAACCCTGCCATTGGCCTGGGCCGCAGGCTAGGGATGAACTCATGAAGGGCCGCAAGGAACTCGAGGTGTGACTGGATCACACGAGATGCCCGTGCTTGGTACCTGTGGGGTGAAATCCCCTCCTCGTCTACTGCCAGTACCGCGTACTGCCGTACTGGTCTCGTACATCGTCTAGTGTCTAGCACGCTACATACGCGCTGGTCACGAACGTCATTACTCACCTCGCGTGCTGTCAAACAAACACCCTACAACTTACACAAGACAGTACAAAACAAGCGGACGAGCTGCGCGCGGTGTTGATTTTTCACCACCAATAGGCACCATTGCCATTGGCACCAAGCTTCAAAACAAAAGTGCAAAACCGTGGCGGAAAGATTGACCCGGCCTGGTCACCCAGCACTGCACAGCGAGTAGAAAGGAGAGCCGTCTTTCATTTTCAGTGAGGATATAATCATTGCCACCGGTAGACGCCCCTGCATGGCCTGAGCGGACTTCAATCTTCACGCAGTGAAAGAAGAAGCCCTGTTAGTGTTATGTTCGGTTTGAGGAAGAGAGGTCTCCTTTACGGACGGCAATAACGCATCCATTCTGTACCTGGAGCTAAATATCCTCCATATCCAGATATCACTGGCTGGAGAAAGTCAGTGTGCACCCGCATACGTAGATCTACTGAGGTTCAGTACAGGTTTTGGCCTTGGTCCGTGGTACCGCGCCGCCCGCTCATCATGTTGACAGAGGCTGGCGTTCCCGTTGTTCTACTTCTCTTCTGTTCGGTACTGGGACGGCACGCGGTGCTTGGCGAAACCACCAACGTTCTCTTCATAGTCGTTGACGACCTGCGACCAGAGCTGCAGGTTTACGGATATCCTCGCGTGCGGTGAGTAGGTTGAAAACTTAGGAGACCGTAGAGCATAATTGTATGACCAGAATTGTCTTTCATCTATTCCCATTAATCATTCCAATTGTGCTATTGCGCGTCATTTCCCACCCGCAGGTCTTCGAACATTGCGGGCTTTGCGAAGACTGCCACGCTATTCCGCAGTGCCTACTGCCAGTTCCCGCTGTGCGCACCGAGCAGAACGTCATTCCTGACGGGCCGACGGCCAGCGACTACGAAGGTCAGTACAAACCTGCACTATATGTACTGTGAAAATTGAACTCGAATATTGAGCCGGATGTAATCATGGATAAAAGGAAGGACGAACTCCTACTAACCTACCCCTTCCCCATTTCTAATATTTTCACTTTTTCAGCTTTTAAGTCCCCTCGTGCTTCTTGGCACCTTCATTCGCTTCCTTGTTATAGGGCTTGAAAGTGATGACGTCAAAAACGGCCTGGGAGTAGTAAATTGACATCAGATTTCTATTTTGGATCCACTAAGGTGTGACTTTGCTATTGCCTCAGTATGTGGGTGCATAGCAACCCACTCATGTCGTATGCAGGTGCAACTTTTACTTCGCCACCAGTTGTCACCCCGCCCCCACTAGCCAAATCAGTCAGTTTCACTGGCAACATCACCTTGCTGTGAGTGAGACCGCTTGAAATGTGCTTGGATCCATACAAAAACTGGATCCAGGTGGATCCAGTTTTCGAATTTTTCAAATTGTTGCTATGCCATTGCTATGGAGTGACGTAGCACTTTCAAGCCCTATTGAGCACTGTGACCTCTGCTCGTTTGGTCACTGCGAATTAAAATATAATCAACAACAACTCGTAACATTTTTGTCTTTCCTTTTATCCATGATTATGTACTGTGTTATTCCTTTGCAGCATCCAGTGTTCATTACAACGAGCATGTGGTCACTGGTAAACAGTTTTTTAACTAAGCCCATTTTCTCCCAACTCCTTTATCGGACATGTAAACACGACTCGGCATCTGGTTCCCTCCTTGTTGTTGTTGTTGAATTTTATTAAAAGTCGCAACACAAACAGGCGATGCCGCCTTCTTTTATACATGCGAGCGACATGACAAATTTAATGAGAATAGTACCTTCTTGATGTGCTTTGGTTGAAAAGGTGTTTGACTTGACGACCTACTTCCGGGATGTGCCGGGGATGGAGGATGCTGTCACGCTACCGCAGTTCTTCAAGAACCAAGGCTACACGGTCAGTGGCGCTGGCAAGATCTTTCATCAAGGATCCTCTTCAGGTTCGTACACAGTAGCTGTATAAGGAGTGATACCCCTACTTTGAGGAGTGGTAGTAATGTAACTATTGTCGTCGGTCTAAGACGGCAGTGTTGCTAATTCTCTGAGAATATGCGCACTCCCTCGCAGCCATGTACACATCCGATCAGTCTCGATACTCCTACTAAAATTATTTCTTTGCTGGAAACAATCTTTTCTCCTCCCCCAAATTCTCAGTCAGAACCGATTCCTTGGATTAACACAATATATAGAGGAGATGCTGGGTTTCAACTCCGAGTTTCACTTGAAACCACACAATCATCCTTCAGGTGGGGGTACACCATATTTGAGTACATCTATTGAATCACATTCACTCTACACTCTATTTTCAGCATTTGGGTGAGACCTGGTATCGGTATGGTATGGTATTGATTTATTTGAATTCGGTATCTCAACAGTACAATGTACAACTTGGGAAGATCCGAATGACATAGATACATAAACATAAAAGTGGAGTAGGTGCTACAGCTGATCATTTTATCGCAGGTTGTGGGACTAAACTAATACCAGTATGCAAGTACACAATAAATAAAAGCTGAATAAATACGACTGCATGACATTGGAGAAAAGCACCAAGTAGAGCAAAACAAAGCGACACATCACTCATTGAAAACATTTTCAAAACTTACTGGTCACCGTGCCTGCAGGGTACAACTTACTAGCCTGTTTGACCTTTTTTGGGTGCACTCCTGTCACTCGAGTTGAACTCGAGTTGAACCTTGGTGTGAAAGTTGTCGGCTGCTGGCGTGGTGACCAGGTGATTTGGGCACTGCCCAGGAGCACGTGACCGCTTCTTCAACCATGTTCGATTGGGAATAAAGGATGAACGCTGCATCGCAGCCTTTTAGGACCAAAACCAGTCGACTCAGCGTCCAAAAGACTACAACATATGGGCCAATCGCGGTCATCCGTGCTTTTATAAGAACGAAATAGCGCTTATAGTGACATTTTGCATACAAATCCCCATCTAGTAGGGCGCAGTCACCCAGTTTCGGTGGAAGTGCGCGAGTTCGATTGGGATTCAAGTAGGAAGGGAGTGTCTCGGCTTTCTCGGACCAAGACCATTCGACTCGGCACCTCGAAGACTACAAGTGGTGAAATTTTGATTTTTGCCTTAACTTCCCCTTTAAGATGAGGGTGTTTAAAAAGCTGCTATCTTTTCTCACATCACTACGTACACAGGTGATAATGATCCAATCAGCTGGACGGAACCGTACTACTTGTCGCCGAACAAGGGAAAGTTTGGCGGCACCAGCATCTCGTGGCAAGCGCGTGATGAGGACGTACTGGAGTTTCCCGATGCGCAGATAGCCACACACACCATTGAGCAGCTGCGCTCGCTCAAGGACGACAAGTTCTTCATCGCCATGGGACTGCACAAGCCTCACCTGCCGTTCGTCTTTCCCAGCGAATACCTCGACTGGTACTCGGGCAACATACCGTTAGCCAACCATACAGATGCCACTGAAGGTGAGTAGGAATAGCAATCTACAAAAATCGTGGCCAAAGAAATCCAACCTGTCACAGTGTGAGTCAAAAGCAGCGCCGCTTTTCCATTTCAATTGCATCCCGTACGTTCCAAAAACTGACCAGGGGACCACAACAGCTTTGGCACTGCTTTCGGCACCTGGGTCGGATTTCTTTGGCCACGACTGTACATTTCTGTGCTCTGTTGCCTGTGTATTTAGCTGGAACACCTGCCATAATTATTATCCTCGCACCTGGGGTTGGAGTGAGGTGTCCAAGCAGGTGAATCGAAGGCACCCCCTCAACATGTTCTATCTTGTTTCGCAGCTGGTTTGTGAGAGACCATAATATGCGGACTGCTGATCGCATGTGCAATTCTGCACATCGCACACTGTAGCAATCCATGTTCAGACCAGGAAGCAGTATGTATTGTACTACTCCCCGGTCCAGACCTATGTGTTTTTACCATCTAAAACCAATCTACATGTTCCTAAGTGCAGTTTGACTATTTTGTCTGATGATTGGCCATTTGGAACGAAACTTCTAGTCCAGGGCAACTCCGCTTCTTACCTGCCATTCAGCAGTATCACGTCAGACCTCAGCAGACTCGGCACATGATTTGTGTTGCGTACAGAAGCAGATAATCATACAAACACGCCATGGGTAGAAGTAGCAACACGGTCCAAGGAAAACACACGTCAGACATAGCAGTTTGTTCAGGCTATGTTTTTTATAATGTAATTCTGGCTGTTGAGTGGTCATGTTGGAGGTTGAGGAAAGGCAAGAAGTTTCTTTCAAGTGTTGTAAGTGGGGGTACAGCAGCAGAATAGTGAAAATAACGTTGAAGTGCAGTTGGCGGTTTTTGTGGGAAATATAGTGTACAATATAGTGTGTCAAGGATTCCTTACTGCTGTATCAAACACGATGAAGAGAAAAAGGGTCGAGAAATCTGACTTAAAGTTCGATGGAGAGTGTGATAATTCTGGAGAAAGCTACATCCAGGACTTAGCTCATCATGAGTTGGAAGCTGTAACTAGTAAAGTACCGTAATTGTTATTACTCCCTGGTTGGCGGTTTGTCAATCGCTGGTTGGCGGTTTGTCAATCGCTCATCTTCAGCATCAAATGTGGGGCAAATGTTTGCTCCTCGCCCTATCGCGGATCAAATAATAATGAAAGGACCAACATAAGTGCATGTACGTACTTTTGTGTGGGGAAAGTCGTGCCCCCCCGATCACTATCCTGGCTACGCCCCTGGTGCTCACGGTGCTGTGCTCACGGTGTTGTGTACTATGCTATGCTCACGGTGTTGTGTGCTATGCTGTGCTCACGGTGTTGTGTGCTATGCTGTGCTCACGGTGTTGTGTGCTATGCTGTGCTCACGGTGTTCTGTGCTATGCTGTGCTCACAATGTTTTGTGCTATGCTGTGCTCACGGCGTTGTGTGCTATGCTGTGCTCACGGTGTTCTGTGCTATGCTGTGCTATGCTGTGCACCATCAGGTCTTCCAGACCTGGCGTGGAGTTATTACAACGAGCTGCGAGCGTACGGCGACATCGAGGAGCTTGATTTGCCCGTAACCCCGGGCAACTGGATGCCGGCATACAAGGCGAGGCAGATGCGCCGTGCGTACTGGGCAGCAACGTCGTTCATCGACGCCCAGGTACAGTCAGCTCCAGCCAGTGCCTTAACCCGTACCATTTACATGTCAATATAACCCTGGCTGGTGTCAAATAGAAAAAAAGTTTTAGAATTGCAGGAGCTAGTGGCTTAAAACTTTAAAGGGATCATAGCCTTACATAATTGCTCTGTCTCTCCACATTGCTTACAGATTGGACGAGTACTGGTGGAGTTGGATGCGCTCGGACTGGCCGAGACGACGGCAGTGGTCATTGCCAGCGATCATGGCTTCCACCTGGGAGACCTGGGTGAGTGGTGCAAGCAGACTAACTTTGAGCCGTCAAACCGTGTCGTTCTGCTAGTGCGTGACCCGTCACTGCCACAGTCTCGCGACCTGGTTGTCAACGAAAACGTTGAACTGCTCGACGTTTACCCATCGCTGGTGGAGATGACCGGACATAGTGTGCCGGAGTACCTGGAGGGGAAGTCCCTGAAGCCGCTGATGCAGGAGCCGGGTTTCGTGCCGCCGCTCTGGCACAACGCAAGCTTTTCGCAGACGCACTCGCAGCACGCGCGCAGCGTGATGGGCTTCACGGTGCGGACGACCGGCTGGCGCTACACCGAGTGGGTTGCTTTTGATAACTCCGCCGGTGAGCCTCTGTGGCATGACCTGCGCGGCACGGAGCTCTACGATCACCGCAACGACGCCAAGGACGTGTTTGGCGGACACGAGGAAGTGAACCTTGCTGACAAGTCTGGATACGAGGAACTGAGGTCCCAGCTCCGGTTGTTACTGCACAGCCAGTCTGCCATAACACCTGTGCCTCCAGTTTAGGCGACTGATGTGAATCAGGACGACACCGATCGCTTGGTGTGAATAGAGCCAAGTACTTTGTGATTACCGATAAGCACGTGCATTTTGCATAAGCAGCCAACCGGCAACATTGCGATCGCATTGCAATGTTTGATGTTCTCGTATGCCATGGGGTGTGCGGTCACGGTTCATGGCACATGTGTTGTGATTATCAACTACTACAACTTGAAAGTCTTCTTGGTGCTCCTGCTGGACAGGAAACCAAACAAAAACCTTTGCCAAGCTACTCCTCTCAACCTGACTTCTGAGGCTAGGAATATTTAGAGTTGCCTCCACTTCAAAGTTTTATGCAAGAGCTATCATAAATTTATTGACTATAGGCTCTTTATGTCCGAGCTTGGCAAAATCTGGCTTTGGAAAATTTAATTTTTTCACTGATACCAGTTTCGGCTTCATGTTCTCTGTGCTGCGCTGACGAGTCCACAAAGGATGAAACAGTTCTTCTGTCTGCAGATTGAGTAGACTATATTTTCTATACCAGGTGTAAAATGCTGTGACTATTTTGAGGCAATTTCGTTTTTTTCTTCGACTTGAACAGGCTGTCATTATTACTTAGGATACTAACCTCCCGATACTAAACACAATCTCTTCCACACGTCTCGAATAGGATAATGCTGAAATTGATATTACCCGCACACATACGAAGGGCAGCACTGAGTTGGGGAAGATCAGGGAGGATTGTCACTCGCTTGGCTTGGTGGTATGCCGTACTGAGAAGCTGAGTGGAGCTGTTAAATGCTGTTTTGTATGCTGGCTGTCAAATCAAGTCGGTAGAAAAATAAGATGTGGACAGTAACACTAGCATAGAGTTCAGTACTGCACAGTGGGATAATAGCATGGTGGTATGGTACATCCAATCATCAAGCATATCCGTAATGGTCTCCTCTCACTTGTCCACGACTGGCTCTCACAGAGCATGGTGGTATGGTACATCCAATCATCAAGCATATCGGTAATGGTCTCCTCTCACTTGTCCACGACTGGCTCTCACAGAGCATGGTGGTATGGTACATCCAATCATCAAGCATATCCGTAATGGTCTCCTCTCACTTGTCCACGACTGGCTCTCACAGAGCATGGTGGTATGGTACATCCAATCATCAAGCATATCGGCAATGGTGTCCTCTCACTTGCCCACGACTGGCTCTCACAGAGCGGTGGAAATTATTTTTTAAAGGGGAAGTTAAGGCAAAAATTAAAATTTCACCAGTTGTAGTCTTCGGGGTGCTGAGTCGAATGGTCTTGGTCCGAGAAAGCTGAGACGCTCCCTTCCTACTTGAATCCCAATCGAACTCGCGCACTTCCACCGAAACTGGGTGACTGCGCCCTACTAGATGGGGATTTGTATGCAAAATGTCACTAAAAGCGCCATTTCGTTCTTATAAAAGCACGGATGACCACGATTGGCCCATATGTTGTAGTCTTTTGGACGCTGAGTCGACTGGTTTTGGTCCGAAAAGGCTGCGATGCAGCGTTCCTCCTTTATTCCCAATCGAACATGGTTGAACAAGTGGTCACGTGCTCCTGCGTACACCAGTCACCTGGTCACCGTGCCTGCAGGGTACAACTTACTAGCCTGTTTGACCTTTTTTGGGTGCAGTCCTGTCACTCGAGTTGAACTCGAGTTGAACCTTGGTGTGAAAGTAAGTTGTCGCCTGCTGGCGCTGTGACCAGGTGATTTGGGCACCCAGGAGCACGTGACCACTTGTTCAACCATGTTCGATTGGGAATAAAGGAGGAACGCTGCATCGCAGCCTTTCCGGACCAAAACCAGTCGACTGAGCGTCCAAAAGACTACAACATATGGGCCAATCGCGGTCATCCGTGCTTTTATAAGAACGAAATGGCGCTTTTAGTGACATTTTGCGTACAAATCCCCATCTAGTAGGGCGCAGTCACCCAGTTTCGGTGGAAGTGCGCGAGTTCGATTGGGATTCAAGTAGGAAGGGAGCGTCTCAGCCTTCTCGGACCAAGACCATTCGACTCAGCACCCCGAAGACTACAGCTGGTGAAATTTTGATTTTTGCCTTAACTTCCCCTTTAAAGTTTGTTAGGATAATAGGAGCATTAGCCTGATTAGGTGTACATATGTCATTTTACACAAGGATATTATCCGCAGACAAAAATAGGAGGAGGTTATGGTCTGAGTGAGATGAAGTGGGTGCATGGGCGGCACCAGCAAAACATGATTCAAGTCAGAAGTGCTGGCACTGGAATACACTCTAGAGTCATACCTCGTTCATCCCGGTCGTCTGGGCGGTCTGGGATTGATCACTGCCAAACTTCGGGATCCGGATACCCGAGGTATGAGTGAGCGAGGCACCTGCACTGCTATTTCAGCTGACTTGGAATCGTGAACCGCGCCACCACCAGTCGATGGTCAGAGCATACTGTGGTCTCAGCATGCGATCTGCATTTTTTGAGCGCTGTCCTCTGGCTCTGCTTGCAGGTCACAAAATCGATCACAGTGCCAGCTTTCTTCCCGGCTGGCCTTGTTATAGTCTGGCTTGCTTTGAGTTGGAACGCTGTGTTACACGCAAATAGCTGGTGGGCCCCTAGGAACTGGGCCAGCTCTCTACCTCTTGGGCTGCGATTGCCAAGGTTGTGAGGACCCATGAACATTTCCCACGAACGCCGCTCGCCTAGCCCTGCATTGAAGTCGCCCGCAAGGAAGAACATATCAGACGACGAGAGCTGCGTGACAACTCGGCCAAGGTCAGAATAGAATTCGTCTAAACGGGGCGAGTTTCGGCCCGGCGCGTGGACATTGACCACTGTACATAACGACGGCGATTCTCGCTGATCGGAAAGAAGCAAGTGGACCACGGAAATCCTGTCGGATACTTTCCAAAAAGAAAGAACGCGCTCTGCAACCGTCCTGCCTATGGCAAAGCCAGTGCCATGGTGAGGTATTTCTGAAGGCAGCCCTATTAGGCGGCACCCGCCGGTGGACTTATCGAACCCATCCGGGTGTTTTGTCTCTTGCAAACAACAGATGTCGACCTGGTATTTGTGAATGTCCGCAGCAAGCTGCTCCTTCTTTCGTTCACTGGATAGATCGTAGACATTGAAGGACGCTATCGACAGTGTACCACCAGTAGATCTACTACTAGTACTAGTCAGAGGACGGCGAGCGTGCCAGATTGTCCGTGGAAGCCTTAGCACCTTCAACGCCATTGAGCCCGCTATCCGACAATACGGGAAAAGTAATAGTTCTCGCCGTCTCAGAGAGCCATCGAAACAATCATAACAATACCAAAACGTATCTGACTACAGCGTAGTACTGACTGTTGCAAAAGCTGAAATCATCCATTTCGGCCGAGCTTCAGAGCTCGAGTCAACTACTAAGGAACTACTACTTGTAGTAACAAATGATATTATTATTTACTACGACATGAATTGAAGTGGGAACTCACTGTCAGGGGGACGGTATATTACCGGTAGCTATCGCTGTTACAAGCAGTGCGGCGCGCGCCAAGGCCCCAGCTAGCTTTATGCAAATTATGGGCAACCTGCACTGGCATTGGCAACGGAAGCAGAAAGCGACATCTAAAAGTTCTTTCTAGGAGGAGTGGCGACTTCGGAGGGTCGACGAAGTAGTAGATCCGACGACGCGTCGACGCATAGATCTACGTGGGAGCTCACGCTTCCTAGACTGCCGAACTAAAGACAGTACTTGACTCTTGACTGACTCGACCTCCCGACTACCATCCGGAGCACATGTCACGATCTCGAGGAGCCCACCGCACCTTCCACTCGACATACCTGCAAGAAAGCACCACTCCCTGCTCACACTCAGTCATAGTGCTTCGGGGAGCTCACCTCTCATCAGTTGAGGTTGAGAAAGCTAATAAAATGTAGTGCTTCAGGAACACTACATTTTATAACGCTCCAGCAGCCAAACATCACAAGGGATATACTTTGAAGCTCCCTTTCAAGCGTGACATACTCTTCGCGAAGCCCCAGGTAGCAGCGTGAGCCAGAGTTTCCCATGGAGGGGTGAGAAGGAGACGCCGAGCTAGAGGCATTCATAACGCGCTCACCTCCAACGACTACTCACGCCCCGTGAGGGATAACTATACGACTTAGAAGCAGCGACTTTGGCGGTAGACGAAGTAATACTAGTAATAGTTGGTTTCTCCTATGGTTGATAAATATGGTGGTAAAGACACACCTGGCAATATGGCGGTAAACACACGCCTGCCCACACACGCTCTCTAGGCTGCAAAGTTCTGGCACAGAGCTCTCCTTCTCACCACCACCACCATCAGTTCGCGCCTGGCGCCTGGTCGTTTCTGGTGGTTTCTCCTACGTGGAGGAGGTCGCACTTCCTGCAGAACTTGACACTTGACTTGACTGACTCACCACTGCCCTGCCAGCCAGACCATACGACAAGTCCATCGAACCGTCCACTCGGCAAACCTGCAAGAAAGCACCACTCCCTCTGCGCAATACACAGTGCTTCTAATTCGGGGAATTCAACCCTCATCAGTTCAGCTCAGAGAGTAGGTTGAGGAAGTAACGACTTTTTACGTTAGTTGTGCGGCCAGCGGTAGTATGAACAGCAGGGTCAGTGACTGTGCCAGTGGCTGGTTCTGACACTACCGTGTACAAAACATGTTGTTGTTGGTTGACAGCATTACATGCATGAAACAAGGTGGAGGACACCGTGTTCGGAAACAGTGACCTTTCTACACATGTGTACAACCATCCACGGTTGGTAGAGCCCCGGTCGGTTGCGACCATCTGAACGTGCCCCCCCCCCCCCGTATTGCGGATCCAATAATACGCATGAAAGGACCAACATAAGTGCAGTCTTTGTGGTCCACTTCACAACAATAACACACACAGAAGTCTCTGCTGTGAGCACGGTGGCTCGGCAATGGCGATCCTGGCTGCGCCCCTGCCTGACCTCTTTCCTTCTTTCTCTCTCCTTGTACATGCTACTTCTTCGCTAAATTTATCACTTAGCCGTAGTGGACTGGTTACCACCCTGGCCTTGTTACGCCATTCATCCGTCCGTTTCACTGGTTCCATTTGCTTGTAGAGAATGAGCAAAAACTGGTTTGTGAAATTCCTTGAGTCCTTGAGCACTGATGATGGTGGTAACGAGTTTCAATTTACTGTTCATTTTCTTGCAGTTATTAGTTAGTGGTTCGGCATATTTTTTACACGCACACACACAATACAAAAGCAAAAAATGCTACTGACAACCACCATTCAGTCTTTTTAAATATGACTTACTTAAGGGGGGGGGTAACGTTAAGTTAATTAAATTTTAGCATGTCACCTTAGGGAATAAAATGTGTGGGGTGTGATGAACATCAGGGGCTGTCTAATAAAGCCATCAGTCTCGGTATCAGTGTCGGTATCAGTGTCGGTATCAGTGTCGGTATCAGTGTCGGTATCAGTCTCGGTTCTCAATGTCAAAAATACTACTAGTAGATGTTTACCAAAAGAAATCAACAATCAAGTCAAGTCCACCCTCTGGTGAATTTACAAACCAGCACCACTGCTAAATTCCGTATGGATGCTTCTGCTAGTCATTATGCTACGCAGCGGATATGCAAGGCAGTCTGTTAGTTAGTACGCTTGAAGCAGCAGCAGCAACAGCAGAAATAGCAGCAGCAGCAACATGAACACGATATCTTGATCTGAATTATAAAAGCAAAACCGCATATGCGCAGGATTGTTTATGAACTGGCACTTGCCCGGCTCACCCCTAGAGAGTTGACTCCATGCAGACAACATCCAGCGGCTGCGACTTGCATTCGGACGGGCCATCCTCGAGCGTGGTTATGCCGTACCGATTGTAATCGTAATGCAGATCATCGGTGCCCACACTGCTTGAACTGTTAGTACTGGTGGCGGTGGCAATGCGTGCAGCGCGGTACGGATCATGCTGGTGGGAATACGATGACGAACGCGAACTTGTCGCCGTGGAAGAACGCGAAATATCCGTTCCCGTAAGTAGAGAGCTGCCGTTGCTTTCCTGTCGAATCGGGGCACGCTCCCTGTCCATGCTCCACGTAGGACGGCCGCCGCTGCTATTGACATAGGCTGCAGGGTGTGGGGACACTTGTCTCTGCACCGTATGCCGGTGCCCGTTGCTGTCAAACTCTCTGAAGATCGGAAGCGCTGTCGTGAAGCCGTCCGCCTTCTTTCTCTGACGCTCCTCTTCCACCTGTAATGGCGATGGCGATGGTGGTGGTGGGAGATCCACCTCGGCGGCCGCTGCCACTGGTGTGGTGTCACCGGAGTCCTCCTCGTCCGTGTAGAGTTGGCGTGCGTGGTCTTGTGCCACCGCCGGCGCTAACTCAAAGTACTCACTCGCACTGGATATCTCCTCTGCGTGTACGGCAACAAACACGTCAACACGGCAAAGCAAACGAAAATGACAATGTCACACCAGAGCCTGTGGTAATGAGCTGTTGGCCGATGAGACGGGGAGAGGATCAGCAGAAATCCACAAACCAGAACCAGTCAGTCTTGTGTAATTAACAAAATAGCCGCCGTTCAGAGCTGCGCCCTATTAAAAACTTTTATGATGAGCAAATTTGGTTGGTCCAACCCAGCCATGCAAGCTATGGACCGGCAATCTGTTTTGTCAAGTCAGCTGTAGTGAACATCTTCCTAGCTGACAACTGTACAGTCCCCAACTTGTCCAAAGACAAATAGACACACAACAAAGTTTTATAACCAATGATACGGAGACTGAGATACCCAGGGTTATGGAGTTTGAGTAATCACGGATACAGTGATTGAGTAGCCATGGATACGGTGGTTGAGTATCCATGTATACAGTGATAGAGTAGCCATGGATGCAGTGATAGAGTAGCCATGGATACAGTGATAGAGTAGCCATGGATACAGTGATTGAGTAGCCATGGATACGGTGGTCGAGTATCCATGGATACAGTGATTGAGTGACCATGAGTACAGTGATTGAGTGACCATGGATACAGTGTTTGAGTGACCATGGATACGGTGATTGAGTGACCATGAATACAATGTTTGAGTGACCATGGATACGGTGATTGAGTGGCCATGAATACAGTGATTGAGTGACCATGGATACGGTGAGTCACCATGGGTATGTATGTAGGCTACAGTGATGCCTCCCAGCATTACAATAGTAGTGGGACAAGGCATGTCTGCGGGACTACTTGACTGCACTTCCATACCTAATGCTGGTGGCTTCCTCCGCGTCGGACTCGTTGGACTTTGGCGTCCACCGTTGGTCACCCTAGACATGTGAGAAGACAAACAAGCAAAGAACCAAGACGTGTTTGGACCTAACAGTTACCGTATTTTACGGAGTATAGGCCGCACTTTGCACACTCAAAATTCACCCAAAAAAAGGAGGGGGGGGGGGGGTTGCGGCTTATACTCCGGTGATCAAATTCACGGTGATAAATAGGATAGATGCCTGTATTTCGTGGCAAAAAAGAGGGGTGTGGCTTATACTCCGGAAAATATGGTAACAATCTTCCACTGGCCATCCACAATCACGAAAGAATTTTGGCAAGTTTCCATTTAAAAAAATTACCACATGTGTGCTTGTACTTGTACTTGCTCACTGCCAGAAACTGGTCATGTCGGGATTTTCACGAGAGGTAAGAGATTCAAAGACCCTACCCACCCCACACACACATGGATGCATAACAAGTGTGCATACATGTGTGTGTGTTCTGTTCTTTTTGGAATCTGTTGAGTTTCTCGATGATCTTGATAGTTCTTGTACTAAGCTTGAAGTTGACTTGGTGTTTGATTACTGTACTGCTTGATGTCTGGATTCCAGTTTTTTCTATTTTTTTCTTTTCTATTCTTTTCCTTTCCACTTACCGTATTATCTCTAATATAAGCACAGTCTCCAATAATAGCACGTCTCCAATAATAGAACACCTTGGGGCGGCATTCAAAAAATAAAGTGCTCAGTCTCCATTATAAGCACACTGTGTAAATTCATTATCTGTCGGCGAAAAAAACCCTGAAATGTGTGTGTCATACATGAATTTGGCATGGCAACATGCCTCTGAAATGAGGTTGAAATCATAATGGAGCAGTCTCCAATAAAGGAACGTCTCCATTAGTAGCACGGGGTGGAGGTACATTGAAAAAATAAAGGACCGTGCTTATATTAGAGATAATACGGTATCCCGTTATCGGCCCACTTAATAGTTGTGTATATCACTGTTGAGGCATCCGAAGGTAAATAAAATAAATACTACAGTAAAACCTGTAACTAACGACCACCCCTTGGTGCCCGGAAAAGTGGTCTTTAGTGGCAGGTGGTCTTTAGTTAGAGGTTTGCACCGCGTGACCATACCGTATTTTTCTGGTTGTAAGTCGACCTTTTTACGACTTAAAATAGAAGGAGAAAGGGTGGGGGTCGACTTACAACCGGGATTCGACTTATAACCGGTAACTATCAGAATCTTCAAAAAAATGACCTGCACTGCATGCACGAGTGCACCATGTTTACACATTTTTGCCAGTTTATTGGCCTTTTTCAAGGATTGGGACGTTATATCCTCCAATAAGTGGTGTTTACATGATTTGTTGATGTGTCAGTAGCAGGAGGTGGTTAGTAGTGCTTCTTTGGGTGAAAACTTTAAAACGCAGAATTGAGACCTCCAGATAGAAGGGTCGACTTATAACCGGGGTCGACTTACAACCGGTAAAATGCGGTATATGGATCCCATTATATGATAATTATTATGTATGTCAAAATGCAGATAATACAATCCCCCACCACTTGCGCACTGACATTCTTCTTCAGATCATACAACACTTGGAGAGAGAGAAGATCAAGTTTCATTGTAGACATTAAATTCAGCTCCTACTTCTGAAGCCAGGAGTCAAGAGTTCCCTGTTGAAGCTTCTCTTTGCGCTGGGCTTCAAGTTTGTTCATGAAGGCACCAAGTTTCTCTACATCCATTGCCATGGTAGACAAGCCACGCTGCAACGTAAACTGTTGCAATGTTGAGATGCAGGACAGTGCTTCTTTGCCGGATACTTCTCTGACTTCTGTGGACTCAGTGTGACCTGGTGACTGAGCTGTGTGATTGCACTTCGACAGAGAGCCGCTCAGTCTTAGTTTCTTCTTCGAGTAGTAACATCGATCAAAGAGCGCTTTGGATGCGCTCTCCAAGACGTTTCCTATCATGTTTGTTCTTGACAGCACTTGAAATTATGACAGGTGTAGTGCAGTCCACACTGATTCCACAGTCAAAATGAGACTGCGTTCATTTGTCCAGCTGTAGTATCGAAACAGTCCTTTCAGGACCATGGAAAATCATCAACATTTCGAGAAGGAGCTTCGAGTGAAGCAGCGGCGAAGGTCCTACACGAGAAGTCTAAAACATAACAACCACGCTGGAAGTCTAAAACATAACAACCACGCACTCACAAGCAAGGAGAGTTCCAAGTTCTTTAACCTGACCGGTTTCTGTGACATGAGTCACTTCATCAGAGGAATGAGGATAAATGACAATGTGGAACTCAATATAACCAGCGAACTGGACAGACAGGCGTTGAGCACTGTCGAGTAATTAGCGCGAAAAAAAGCAATTTAGCGATTTAGCGCGAAAGAAAGCGTGAACAAAACACGGGGTTGCTTGCGAGGCGAAAAAACAAACACGAGGTTGAGTGCAAGGCATGGCATGGAGGTAAAAAATACACCTATACCCATCGTGAATGTGGTTTCCTAAAACATAAGTTAGCGCGAAAAGAATTTTGCAGGGTGCGTTGAAGGCTGAGGAGGCCAGGGTGATAGTCAGTAACAAAAACTGTGGGGCAAGAGGCGGAAGCTTGCACAGAGCTAGCTGGAGGTATGAGTTGACAGCTAGCTGGGGTATCACTGAACGCATCGTGGAGAAACCTAGGAGGGTAACCACGCTTGCGAAGCCTGGTCCAGAAAGCATCACGTATAGCGAGCAGGGAGGTGATCTCACTGTTTGTGTGGTTATAGCGCAGCAATTCAGCTTTAATAAAAGCTCTGAAACATGAGCGGGGGTGGTCGGACGTAAATGGGATGTACAAATAAGCGTTCCTGGGCTTTTGGAAAGTACTGAATGTGAATGTGGATTTATCATTAATAGAGATGATCAAATCAAGAAACTCAATACTTTTACTGGGGTCTGACCACGTAAGTCTGATGGCGTCAAGTTTTGCGTACATGTGCCGTTTGACGGCAGGCAGATTGCTCAGTCTTTTGATGATTAAGAGAAGATCATCAACGTATCGACCGAAGAACTTTATGGTGTTACGGAAGACTGAGAGTGATGTACGCTCATGGACGAAGAGGAAAATATTTGCAAAATTAACCGCCATGGGTGTACCCATGGCCATGCCATTCTCTTGGTGATACACCAAACCATCATGCTCGAAAAAATTATTTCTTAGCACAAAAGAAATAAGATCAATGAGCAAGTCTTTCATGGGGTGATTATTTTCGTCGAGGAACACGTGCAGGGCATTGGTCGTGTCTTTCCACGACATACATGTGTAAAGACTTTAGACGTCTGCAGTCAAAAGGGAGCAGTCACTCAAGTCATCGATCGACGGAGTGATCAAACTCTTTACAACATCGTTAGTAGAAGTAAACACAGTGTTTGCTGATTTCATGAGACTCTTTATATGGTAGTCGACATAGCGAGAGGCTGGGGTTATGTTTTAGACTTCCCGTGTAGGACCTTCGCCGATGCTTCACTAGGTGTAGTGCAGTCCACACTGATTCCACAGTCAAACTGACCTGCGTTCATTTGTCCAGCTGTAGTATCGAAACAGTCCTTTCAGGACCATGGAAAATCATCAACATTTCGAGAAGGAGCTTCGAGCAATGTTTGATTTCCTACATCGCGGTCGCTAGTTACGGGTCAAAATTCGACATTGGGACAAGAAAAGGCGGTCGCTGGTCGCGTTCAGCAGGAAGTCGCTAGTCACGGTACATTTTGGATGTGAGATTGTCTGTGCCTGACGAAGTGGTCGGTAGTACCAGGCTGGTCGCTAGTCACGGTGGTCGTTAGTTACAGGTTTTACTGTACCACTACTAGTACTACTACTAATGTGCTGTAACCCCCACCCCACCCCCACCCCCACCCCCACCCCCCCCCCCCACCCCACCCCCACCCCCACCCCCACACATGGACGCATAACAAGTGCGCATACATTTGTCAGTGTATTGTGCTGTAACCCCCTCCTCCCCAAGGTGTTGACCACTCTCAGCACAGTGGATGTATCACCTGTCACAATGCCCCGTCATACCAGCACCTCTCACCTGACCACGCTGCCATCATCCGGAACCAGAGTGGACGTACTGGTACTGCTCCGGCGCAACTGGATCACGGGTGGCGTGCTGTCGGACGCCTTGCCAGTCAGACAGGGAACTTGTAGTGTGGTGGCCGCCGCTGCTGCCTCCTCAACGCCAATCAGATCCAGGGCTCGGTTGCGTGCCAGTGACGAGCGGCGTGTGCTGTGAGCGGACACGGCAGCACTGCCATTGCTATCGGCTGCAGCATCATCAGCAAGCGCCTGCAAAGCAGTTGCATTCTCCTTGGCGTGCAGTGATATCTTGGACAACGGAGAGTAGCTGGGGGGCATTGAAGTGGCAAAGTCCGCCACTCGCGCACCTCCCTCGCCCAAAGGACTTGGGCCGTTGGTGCTGTCCAGTGAGCTGCTGAAGATCCTGGACTTCAGCATCTGAATGCTGTTTCTGCGTCGACGCCGTACGCCCGGCGACTCGCCGAGGTCGAACGACGTGGCGGTGGTAAGGTGTTTTTCGGCAGAAGCCTTTCTCGCAGTGTCCTCCGCATCACTCAGGCCACGTCGGCCCAGCTTCAGTATACCACGTTTCGGCTTGGGCCGCGGTGAACCGGGTGCCTGGGCGGAGCTTCGTCGCAGGGAGCCGAACCGCACACGGCCCCAACCCTTGTCCTCGTCACCCTTGTCCACCGAGAGATGTGCTGCCTTTGCTCGCTTGTCCTTCTTCGGCTTCTTGCTGCTCGATTTCTACCATTGGAATAAGCACGTGTATAGCAACATGGCAGGCATGCGGGTGCACAAATATGCAGACAGAGAGACGGACGGACAGACAGACAGACACACACACACACATACACACACACACACACACACAGAATCATGAGAATAGGGTAATCATACTAATCAACTCTCCAACTGTATCTACAGAGTCTGGGCTGTTACGTGCTTCGCAGCTCGCACAACCGCAACTGACTTTCTCAGCATGGCAAAGCGGCAATGATTCTGAATACCGTGTTACTGTGTCTACCACAGCCCTGGCTGTCTATGCATGCAGGTAACTCAACTTCAAATATACACTCCACAATCAGCCATCTCCATGTGCTAGGCACCAGAAGACACACAGATAATAGAGTGCGCAACCTGAAGATATATAGATCGACACGTTTTCAAGGTCATTTCCCACAGCCTGGGTGGTGTATAGAAATGTTGAACTTTCCAGGTGAAACGGGAAGAGTGAACTCTTTCCTCACCAATGCCACATTCAAAAGAGCCAGGAAAGAAGAAATGCAATGCTCTCCGTTGCATCCTCAGCTTGTTGTCTCCACAGAAGATTTGTTTGTTGTTTGTTTGTATTCTTTATTTACAGTGGGAAGTCCAAAACAGGGGCCTAGCCTATAACACTGGTCCCACTAGTGAGGGAATGCTGTATATCTGTGCATAAGGATCAGTGAGTGTAACAGCAACAGATGGTTCTAAAGATACTAAATCCAGGGTAGAGTAATGGCTAAGGAGTATTCAAGTAGCTCACCCCTGGGCCATGTTGCCCAATGGATCCTACGCCCGAGTCATCCTGTGCCTGGTGGTGCATCATCGATACGGTGGTGTTCATCCGTGACAGCATCTGTGCACGTCTGTTCTCAGACTTCTTCAGCACGCCCTGGAGACGCTCCATCTGTGAGCTGCCTGACGAGGCATTGGTCATATTAGTGGCCACTGACACTGAGGCGGTGTATGGGTTATATACCTGAACAGACACGTAAATGTGGACACACACACACACATATACACACACAGACACATAGATGTGGACACACATACACACACACACACATACACACAGACACATAGATGTGGACACACACATACACACATATACATATACACACACAGACACACATAACTTACATACACACACATGCACGCAAAACACACACACATATACACACACACACACACGCACGCGCACACACACACACACACACACACACACACACACACACACACACACACACACACACACACACACATATATATATATACACAAACACACGCACAAACACATAGTAATGATCCCCAACAACCACTACCTGACGCGAGGGTAACCTCCAAGCAATGTGTAATGCCAGCCAGATTCCTACCTGTAGGTTTGTGCTACATATTGGCAACTTGTGAGAGACCTTGTGTTCGGTAATTCCATTCGCCTGCATCTTTTAGCTTAGCAGTGGAGGCTATCTGCGGTCGCCATCTCTGCACTTTGTCGCGGCTTTGTCAGGCCAGATTAGGCAATTGAATGACCTTCCCTGACACGGGGGAAAGGATCGATCAAGCAACCTTTAAAGTTAGCATGCAAAGGAATGCCAGAAAATGGCAACTGATGCTAAATACAGTAAATCCTGTCAAGGCAACCACCTGTCCTAGATGACCACCTGTCCCAGAAGACCACCTGTCCTAGAAGACCACTGCAACCAGGACTAAGGGATGCTATTTCCAGTCAAATAACCCTGGATAAGGAGACCACCTGGTTACAGAGACCATGTTTTGAAGGTCCCTTGAGCGGTCGTCATTAATACACAGGTCTCACTATATACCATACAGATACACACAAAACGGTAAAAACGGTAGAAGAGTCTCTGTCCTTACTTCGTATTTGTTGTTCCCCAGTACGTTGGAGCGGGTGTCACGTCGCGTCAGCTTACGCTGCGACGGTGGCACCTTACGGACGGGCAGTGGACGCTGCTCATCACCACTTTCCCCTTCCATGGAGAGAGAGACTGACGGTGTGCGCCGGTGCTGCGACAATAGGCTCACACCGATCGGCGTCGGGTACATTGGCTTGTGGCTGGAACTGCCGCCGGACAGTAAACTGCCCTCGTCGGCACTGGAGACGAGTGCGGACGCAGACACTGCCTCCGAGCTGTACGCTGGCTGCAGGCCATGGCTACCACCCCCGCCTCCGCCTCCCTGGCGATAGTCCTCCGTGCCGCTGTGTCTGCTTTCCGTGCTGTGCGAGCGGCTGATATGCTGGTACTTACTCGACTTCTTCTTTCTTGGCCTAAAGCACCCGCAGCACGGGCAAACGACAGACAGACAGACAAACAAGTGAATGCACGGAAAGACAGATGGAAAAACAGGCATGCATGCGGACAGGTCCAGATAGACAGACACACAGACAAATACACAGACAGACAGACAGACAGACAGACAGACAGACAGACAGACAGACAGACAGACAGACAGACAGACAGACAGACATACGGAGAGACAGACAGACGGAGAGACAGATAGACAGACAGACAGATAGACAGACAGACAGATAGACATACAGACAGACAAACAGACAGACAGGCGGACAGACAGACAAACAGCGATATAGTGATACGGGCCATAGCATTACATATGACTTACATAAATGTACACCTTAGTGTATCGCCGATTCTCTGCTTGAGGCGATTGAAGCGGATCTCCATGACCAGGACAGCCAGCAGCAGTGATGCCACCATCATTATTAGCAGTATCTACACAAGAACAAAACTCTTGTAGTTTAGATACCAGACACAGGATGTCAAATTACGCAAAATTGCAAACCCATCAAAGGAAATTATCCGTAACTCCTCCTGAACCACCATGTCTCCCCACCCCCACCTTGTCCTCGCTATCATACCAGTGATATTAGAATCATTGTCTCTTCCTACCCCTCTCTCCACTCTAGCAATAGACGAGCTTCCATTCAGCCTCTACTGGGACTTAAAAAAGCTACCAGGAAAGTCATCCTGCTGTTATCTCTACCAGCCATCAGCATCATGATTTTCTATTTTTTTATCCCCCCCCCCCCCAAAACACACACCATTTGAAGGCGCAAACCAGCAAGGCAGCGATGAGACAAAATAGAATGGCAGAAGTGGGTGATCATGAGCTTACAAAGAAGTGTAGGTATGGCTTCACCTCCAGGAAGCCAAACTTCTGCAGAAAGTACCGTCCCGAGTTGGGATAACACTCGATCCAGGAGTCAAATTTGCACTTCTCCAGGGGCACCTTCCTCTCGAAGCTATCCCCGTCCAGCTCTTTGAGGAAGACAAACATCATGCCTGAATATCCGTAGTAGTTTGGGTTGATGTAGAACAACCACTCATACCTGCGCACATGCAAACACACAAGCGCACAAGAAGAAGCACAGTACTGAATAATTACAAAGGCACGGTGAAAGGATCGCGTCACCTGGAGGATAGCCACTGCTCAGACCTTCTTGGCAAAAACAGCAATGAGTGGACCATTTCTTCGGATCTGTCACAGCTCTGCATTTTACGCATCAGGCACCGTCTACCACCAGTTGGCACATATATGTACAGTCGAATGTCACTTATCCGACCACTTCGGGAATCAGGCATGTTGGATGACTGGATATGTTGGATAACTGACATCACTTGTTATGTGCATATATGGCTGGATTTCACTGATTTATGTACACAATACCCAAATATATTCATGCATATTCATGAATTGCTCCATGTACACATACATGTACATGTACATGTTAGCATACTTGGCCACATCTACTTCAAGTAAATGCACATTACACCGTATAATATTATATGTAGAAAGGAAAAAGACATTATGGATACGAGTTAAGAGTATCCATCTCGCATCCATAATGTCTTTTTCCTTTCTACATTCATTTATGGCTCAACATCCGAGTTTTATAATATTATACAAAATGTTTTTTAGAATTTTACTGTTGACCGTCATAAAATTACCACTCCCTGGCTTGTCGGATAACCGACGTGCTCGGATAACTGGCGACCGGATAAGTGACATTCGACTGTATCAAAATCAGGGTCAGGATATACGGTGGACATGTAAGAATCCATGAGGAGTAGAGAGAAGCCTTGTACAGTAAAACCTGTCAAGGCGACCACTCGGATAAGGCGACCACCTGTCCTAGAAGACCACTTCAACCAGGACCAAGGGATGCTATTCCAGTCAAATGGCCCTGGATAAGGAGACCACCTGGTAACAGAGACCACGTTTTGAAGGTCCCTTGAGCGGTCACCTTAGACAGGTTTCACTGTATAGAGAAGCTATGTAGTTGACAACAGTTGACTTGACCCGCCATACAGACAACAGTTGACTTGACCCGCCATACAGACAACAGTTGACTTGACCCGCCATACAGACAACAGTTGACTTGACCCGCCATACAGACAACAGTTGACTTGACCCGCCATACAGACAACAGTTGACTTGACCCGCCATACAGACAACAGTTGACTTGACCCGCCATACAGACAACAGTTGACTTGACCCGCCATACAGACAACAGTTGACTTGACCCGCCATACAGACAACAGTTGACTTGACCCGCCATACAGACAACAGTTGACTTGACCCGCCATACAGACAACAGTTGACTTGACCCGCCATACAGACAACAGTTGACTTGACCCGCCATACAGACAACAGTTGACTTGACCCGCCATACAGACAACAGTTGACTTGACCCGCCATACAGACAACAGTTGACTTGACCCGCCATACAGACAACAGTTGACTTGACCCGCCATACAGACAACAGTTGACTTGACCCGCCATACAGACAACAGTTGACTTGACCCGCCATACAGACAACAGTTGACTTGACCCGCCATACAGACAACAGTTGACTTGACCCGCCATACAGACAACAGTTGACTTGACCCGCCATACAGACAACAGTTGACTTGACCCGCCATACAGACAACAGTTGACTTGACCCGCCATACAGACAACAGTTGACTTGACCCGCCATACAGACAACAGTTGACTTGACCCGCCATACAGACAACAGTTGACTTGACCCGCCATACAGACAACAGTTGACTTGACCCGCCATACAGACAACAGTTGACTTGACCCGCCATACAGACAACAGTTGACTTGACCCGCCATACAGACAACAGTTGACTTGACCCGCCATACAGACAACAGTTGACTTGACCCGCCATACAGACAACAGTTGACTTGACCCGCCATACAGACAACAGTTGACTTGACCCGCCATACAGACAACAGTTGACTTGACCCGCCATACAGACAACAGTTGACTTGACCCGCCATACAGACAACAGTTGACTTGACCCGCCATACAGACAACAGTTGACTTGACCCGCCATACAGACAACAGTTGACTTGACCCGCCATACAGACAACAGTTGACTTGACCCGCCATACAGACAACAGTTGACTTGACCCGCCATACAGACAACAGTTGACTTGACCCGCCATACAGACAACAGTTGACTTGACCCGCCATACAGACAACAGTTGACTTGGCCCGCCATACAGACAACAGTTGACTTGACCCGCCATACAGACAACAGTTGACTTGGCCCGCCATACAGACACATAGACAGTATAGATGGAAAGAAAAATCAAACCTCCTGATCCCCGTGAGTTCTACAGTGATAGCAAACAAAATCCAACCTCCCATAACCTCATGTGTGCACAGTGGAGAGTGAAATCCAACCTCCTGAGCCCCATGTGTGCACAGTGGAGAGTGAAATCCAACCTCCTGAGCCCCATGTGTGCACAGTGGAGAGTGAAATCCAACCTCCTGAGCCCCATGTGTGCACAGTGGAGAGTGAAATCCAACCTCCTGAGCCCCATGTGCTGTACAGCGGAGAGTGAAATCCAACCACCTGAGCCGCATGTGTGTGTACAGCAGGAAGTAAAATCCAACTTCCCGTAATCTCATGTGTTTCACAGGTACAAACACCTCGGTCCACTGGCTGGCTACAGCATGCTCACTCTCTTACCAGCAATTCATATCCGGCTTGGGTATGAGGAAGCCTCCCACAAAGCCAGTCACGGAGGTGATGATAGGCGACAGCTTGAAGCCAAAGTTCGGATCAATGCAGATGATGAACTCGGCAAATGCAGTCCACACCATATTGAGAGTCAGCGAGAAGGCGGTGAGCTGAAAGTAGATGGAATAGTCCCACGACCCGTACGGCACTGTCATCATATACAGTATAGCGGTGCACAGGACTATTGCCAGCGAGCAGGGCATGGTGAGACGCAAAAACGTCTGAATCACCACCTCCCAGCAGCTGCCAATGCCGTCTTGCTTCTCCAACGAGAATATCTGAACACGGACCAAAGACGGGAAAGAAGAGAATGGTTCAAGTGTCCAATGCTAATTTGTGACAATGGCAACATTGATCATGCATCTCCAGGTGCTGGTGGTGTATACCCACAAGAGCTGTGATGGTACCGCTACCGGCATGTATGCAGACAGGTTTAACAATTGTCACGATTTCAGTCCTCTGTTTTCCTAAGTACAAGGGAAGGAACTCTGTAAGTACGCACTCTGATACGACATACTCTTGCTTAGTACGGACATTGCCCGTAGCACAGGTGTATTCACCCATGCTGAAGTATGCTGGGATAAGAAGTGCCTTGGACACTAAGTACAGTATCCTGCAGCCCATGCCGGGGGTACGTCTTATCAGTGTTCTACTGTATGTGACCATGTGGATCACAACTAAAGCAGTGAAACTGTCATTTGTACACAATGAGCGTGTACTGAACTTGATCACAATATAACAGGATTGTCAGGTGTGGGTTGGAAATCTCTTGCTATGCCGCCAGTAGGCACCAAACCGTGCACAGCTCTTGCTCTTTTGTTGTTGCAGCCAGCAGCGGATTTCTCCCTTACGATGATACGACTGCACATGTGTCACAGTGCACATGCCTGCAGTGCATACACCCCCCCCCCCCCACACACACACACGGATGTAAACACATGCACGCACACACACACACACACACACGGCCCACTAACCTCCAGCATTTTACTCAGATGACCGTGCACGGCCGGAAACATAAAGATAGAAGGTGCAAAGCTCCAGATGCAGAATGTTGACATTAACAGAAGCTTCTCGCTGACCTGGAAATACGCAGAGCCTGCAAACATAACATACACCAAAGCTCAGGGACACCGTGCATGTGTTGGCTCAAATTGGGTTGTGGTAGTAGTGGCAATGCATGGTGACACTCAGTGAGGCCTCGATAGAAGTTACTGCTAATTCCTTGACCTTTGGAAAACGATTCAGTAACAGGGTACACAACCATTCAATATTCCGTGCACACTCTGAGACGCTATACGTCGCCTGCATGGAGCATTCTGAGCATTGCTATGCTCATTGCCACCACTCTGTGAGCCCATGTACATGAACCTGATGTGATAGGTTTTCACACCAGCTGAAGATTTGAAAAGACCAAAGGAACTCCAAGTACTGATCTCACGAGGCACACAGTGGGTAGTGGGTGCGTTCGATTACTGCAATGAATCGATCCATGAATGGAATTTCGTCGTTCGATTTCAAGTCATGACCCATGGCGGCGGTTCGGAATCCATTCACCTTATTCACATGGGGTGATGTGAATAGCCGGGGGCTATTCATGAGTGGATTCGACATCGAACGCACTCAGTGTGGGAGCATACAACGCGTGCCAGAAATTCTCAGCTACTATACAGCAAGACCCTCTAACCCGCCTGCCTTACCAAGAGAAAAGGCGTAGCCAATGTAGATCAGTGGAAGGTAGAGTCGCTTCATGTTGGTGTTTCGCATCGACGCACGGCTTTCGTACACGAAGATGCGACTGAAGGAACCGGCACGTGGCTCTGGTCTGTGCATAGATGGGGAGTAGAAAAGTGCAAGGCTTCAGAATTTCACCAGATCAGACTTGTACAAACCTGCATATCATATAGCAGTGTGCATGTTTTACTTTCACCTTCACAACAGCTAACACAATGAGATATCACAGTCAAATTGGATCAGATTCTGGTTTCGAAAATCAGATGGCTTACACCAGAAAATACCTCCAGACTCTGCCTCAAGTTACCTAAGCGAAAAACATATAATTGGTATGGGTTTTTTTTTAAATATGCGACGCGGAGACAGTAATTTAATTAAGGCTATGAATAAGATTAGATGTGCAGTCATCACCAAAAATTGTCACGAGAAAACGCTATGATCACTCTACACTGGACTTCCTGGTGACGAGTGTTTGGTGATGACGGCACATAAATATCTTATTCACAGATTTTGTGAAGATTAAGCACGGAAAACATGTGCTGTTCACTCACCGCACTAGCCCCAAGTCACTACCCTTCTGTGTGAGCCCCTGATCGCGTGCTATCTCGATGGCATTTCTCATGTGGGCGGCTTCTCGTGTGTTCTTCTGATAATGCTCCATGATGATCTTACGATAGCGCTCGTTGCTCAGAACGTCGATGATGAAATCTTTTGTGAGAGACACAGATATGCAGACAGGGAGCCATATTATATAGACAAACAAACAGACGGATGGACAGGTGGACAGATACACACACACACACACACACACACACATCAAGCAAGCGCTTAATTCTCCAAACACTTACACACCAGCAAGGCCCAGCTAGAACATCCAGACCGTACAACAGTAGTAGATAGGCAAACCACACAACAGGGGCAAGACTTGTTACTGACGAATCTTCACATTTCGACCATATTGGTCTTCTTCAGAAACTGGTGGTGTGTAGTTCGGTCTGCCTACTGTTGTACATGTACGAGACAGATAGACAGTGACTACTGCGCCTGTACCAGGATCTACACGCGAACTTAACCCTTTGGAGTCCGTAACTTTTTTCCTTCCGCAGAATTTGTGGCAGTCAAGAAAATGCGGACTCCATTTCCAACATTACTTTGGTTCTACTCCACCGATTTTGAAGATCTTGGGCTCGTTGGAAAGCTCTTGATGAGAAAAATACAATGAGCGCAAACTCGCCAAGAGCACTATTCATTGTCCGCAACAACGCGCCCCAAACGCGAGTCCAACTCCAGATCTGAGACGAAATCGGTCTTCTGTAGCCATTTCACTGAATGTAGCTCGGAACTGTTCAAATGGTTTCGAGTAGAAGCTTACCTTGCCGTGACTTCGCGCCGCGCCACTCCTGGCACGTGCGGCCTGTCATGAAGCTGGGAAAATCCCTTTTTTCACGCACTGCTGACTCGCAGCACGCAGCGCACAAAATTCGAAATATTTGATCACTCGCCGCTCACTCAAACTTCATCGGAGAGACTTCGGACCTGTTCTAAGCGATAGCTGAGAGTTTTCTCTACCATCTAGACCCTTCGATTGTTGCATTTGGTCTAGATTTGGCCGAGAACCGAAAGTTTGACTGCGCCCACATGCATACAAAATGCCCATGGTTCGAAATCGAACCATGGACTCCAAAGGGTTAAGTCGCAATATCAGTGCATTTGCCCTGGTTGACGACTGGACTCACCTGCTGGATTCTTGTCCATCTTCTTGGCTAGGTCTTCGTCCTGCAAGGAGGCACAGATGGCATTGGCGAACAGCTCTGGGGCAGCCTCGGGAGACCCATAGTAGGCGAGCTGCAGGTAAGCAGAGGAGAGAATTAGGGGTGAAACGAGTATCTATTTTGACCAATCGATCACTCGTTCATAATATTCGATCGAGTATCCGATTATTTCGAGTATTTTATCAAAATTCAAAAGGGCTAGATTTGTGAGTTCTCCACAAATTCGGGAAGAAATTATCTGTGAACATAAAACAAAAGTCGCCAACGTCTTGTACAGAGTGTAAAGTAACGATTTTCATCAGTACTTTCATATCTCAGAACGGTAACTGACGTTACTTGCCGTGGTGATTGCATCGTCCAAGTCATAAAATACTGACTCAAAGGCATGCATTACACATGTATACCAGTGGACGAGCGGTACAACAAAAGTTTTCGAAAAATAGAATGCCAATATTAAAAATAAAAAAACAAACAAAACAAAAAACGATCGAGTGCAAAATTTCGAATACTCGCTCGTTTGAAATTTTCGAACGAATACTCGAATATTCGAACTAATCGTTTTACCCCTAGAGAGAATACAGGTGAACACAGCCATGTTGGTGGTCATAGGAAGACATTGGCCAATGTGCGTTACATCAAAGAGCAAACTCAATGTTTTTATCCTGTAACACATACAGTGATTCTGTCTACCATGGGTGTGAACTGCAGAGCTGAGCAGCTGATGTCACATGACCGAGAAAGGGGCCCAGGAGGAGCAGTGCCTACATACACGATAATAGTAGGTCCTGGCTTCTCAAGCAGTCATGTGACCAGGGCCTTATTTGGCAAGTCACTCCTTCCTCTCACCTCTCCCTGGCACAGCAGTACGATGATATCAAACATGTGGAAGATCTCCAGACGTGGCTGATGTATGGTTACGATCACTAAGCGCTGCGACTCGGCCAACATTGCCAGCAACTTCAAGAGCTCCATGGATGATGTGGCGTCCAGACCTATAGGTAGAAACGATACAAGCACAGCCATCTCACAATGTGAGTCCATGAGGTGCTAAAAGGCCAATGGATCGTGACAATGTCATTGACCGCAGAGTATTAGAATAGTCTCGGATGAAGAGCCAAGGATAAATTTATAGAAAAGAAAAAGGACCAAGGAACTACAAGTTACACTATAGTGTCCACTAACACCACCAGTTACTTGGTCCTTTTTCTTTTCTATCAGTATTAGAATGGTGGTGTAGATATCAGACTTGGAGGTAGTGAAGTAGAGTAGCCAGGCCTTCGGCTAGACCAAGTTACTGCTAAGCCATTAACTTTATGACTGACTCACAATTTTGTTGACTGCCCACGGCACACAAGCTGACGCCACATTAAATTTCATCTACGTAATTATAGGGCTTGCCAACATGATGCTCAATTCGGCAGCCCTATTGCAATTTACACCCGTCTCCAGCAGCCAGCATTCTATACATGCCCACCGGAATCGGTCGGGTTGGTCAGGTTATCACCGGACCAACTTTGTGGCCACCAGCGCAGGTTGAATGCCGAGGAGGGTATACTTCCCCGACATATCAAACACAACATACCAAAGACTATTGTACGACCGACCAGTTGAAAACTACTTCCGGCGGTCCTGCTATATACCAATAATACCAATCTTCTGATCAGCGGTAGATCTACTAGAGCCTAGCAGAGTGGGCTGTGCGTGTTTCCAGGTGTTTACCTGAGGTTGGTTCATCCAGAATAAGCACCTTTGGCAGCTCCAGCATTTGCAGTGCGACACAGAGACGACGTTTCTTCAAACACACGCACACACATGCAAGGACACGATCAGCAACGGCACCATTGTCGCTTCAAACATTGCCGCACTGTCTTGGCAAGTGCTTTAGCGCCGAATTTAGGTCCCTGGCGCATTGCAACACTTGCACGTCTTTCATAAGCATGTGATTTCCTTAGCCATTTTCTAGGCAAAGCCTTCACCACCACTTTACTGGGTCGTGATCAGGTTAGTAAGTGCAAAGTAAAGTAAATCAGCACACGAAGCACAGAAGCCATTATAGTTTCGACTAGGCCTTTCGTACCATTACTCTTCAAGTCGAATGCAGTGTGGTTTAAGCCGCAGCAAGAAGTTCTTATAATTATATAAGTCAGTAAAATCAATCGACCTTGGCAGTACTTGGTTGCTGTTGAATGAAGCTATATCGTCTTACCTGTCCTCCGCTGAGGCCTGCACCAGTGCTGCCACCAACGACCGTGTCAGCCACCATGCTCATGCCAGTCTGCATGCACACAACACACACACACATACACATTACTGTACACACACTTGAGAGGAATCAAAAGCGTTCCTGCTGTAACTCTCAAGTGTATGTTCTAGGCTACGCACCTCGGTGTATTAAGCACTGTCACGAGCAACCACAACTCCCTCTGAGTACACATTACTGTATATGCCCGCCAGAACCGTTGGTAAGGTTATCACTGGACTAGGGGTGAAACGAAGGTCTCAAATTCCCATTCGAACCTTCTTTATTAAAACGAACGAAGGTGTCGAAGGATTCTTTTTTAGCATGATCACGGAAACGCTCAAAAATCTTAAAAATAAAAAGGGGGCAGAAAATCAGAACCCAATACTTATATTGTATGTGCAATTTGTTTCTGAATCTGGTGGTATCAATGTATCCATTCCAGGTAAGAAAATACTTTGGTAGAGCACACAACTTTAGATAGAGGCAAGGTTTCAACATACTCTTGATAGAGGCCATACCTAATACCAAGAGTGCATAAACAATGTTTATGGACTCTTGCTAATACCTGTTTGTGAGTCAATTGTCCATATTTCTGACAATTTAGATCAGTGGGATCGTGTACAGACTTGCTAGCCTTGGCTTTTGTGACACAAAACGACAGGAGTACTGCTCTAGTGTACAGCCAGTTGCATGCTTGAACAACACCAAAATGGACGGAAAAGAGCCATATTGCGTAGTAAATATAGGATGCCCAACTTCATCAAAAAATTGTCAAATCTGGACATGTACTTTTCGCTTATCTGCTCGCATCCACTGGGTGCATTGGTGATTGAGAGAAGAGTGAATAGTCACTGGGTGAGGAACTTCACCTGCGTCGATGATTCCAGGCCATCGCTGCGCTCCCTCTCGCTGCTGCTGCTGGGAGAGTGAATACTGCAATGGCTTCAGCGATGGACACTTTTATATTCGATACAAAAAATGAGACTACACTCGTATCGCTGCTACAACTTTCTCCAGACACCATCACTAGCAGATATCGACGGCAGCTACAGCAAGCTATATTCCTGGTACAAGCAAAACTGAGCGAAAACACGATCGAAATCGCAAAACTACTCTCCTACTAGTAGTTAGTATCGCAGAGCGCCAAACACTCGACGAATACAATCAAAAAAGTCATCCATGAGTACACCATGGTAGATCTACACACCAACGCAAAACGGGAACACGCTGGTGACTGGAACAGGGCCAGTTCTTCACTGACTTGTCACTTCTTCAGTTCCGGTGCGCACGCGGACCGTGCCCCTACTTGTAGTACAGCATATCCTAGTGCATGCAGCACATCGCACAAGATCAATGCATTGATGCATGCACTAAACCCGTGTCGACCTTCGTTCGAATCAAAAACGAAGGTTCGTTTCAAAGGAAAACGAAGGTCCTTCGAACCTTCGACTACTTCGTTTCACCCCTACACTGGACCAACTTGTTTGGCCACCAACACAATCACGTTTACTACTGTGGAGAGCATGTGTACCCGCCATATCATACACAACTTAGGATGAAAGGCCATTAGGAGGAGGAGGCAGAGGAGGAGGAGGAGGAGGAGGAGAAGGATGAGGATGAGGAGGAGGAGGAGGAGGAGGAGGAGGAGGAGGAGGAGGAGGAGGAGGAGGAGGAGGAGGAGGAGGAGGAGGAGGAGGAAGAGGAGGAGGAGGAGGAGGAGGGTGGACGGTTCAAAGAAGCATAAGAAGAAAAGAATATAAACTATGGTGGTATCTGTTAGAGGCAGAAGCAATGGCATGGAGAGTGGCATGCAAACACAAGCACTAAGCAATGGCATGCAGTGTGGCATGCAGACACAAGCGCTACAACTTGGAAGATTGCAGACATTCACACAAAAACTAGCTAGACACGAAACTCACTTCGGCTATGACCTGCTCGACACGCATGAATCTCTCCTCGTTGGACAGCTTGGTCGGCAGGCGCATGTAAGCGGCGAATGTCAGATTCTGGCGCACGGTGAGCTCCTCGAAGTAGGGCACGGCCAGTTGCAGAACATAACCCGTATTACGGGTGTAGGAGCTGGCCACATTTTCAAACGGTCGACAGTTTATGAATATGTCACCCTGGGGGCAAGAAGCCATCACGCACAGCAGATAAACCAACACACATGGATTCACATGCCAATCTTCTCTATACCGTCAGGTGCGGTGAGAATACCCTCCCCTTGCCTTGAAGTACATGTAATGTGCAATAGAAGGGTTTAGAGGAGACATATCGTTAGTAACAAAGAGAGGACTAGTTGGTCGGTTGGCTGGCAGGTTGCTATATTTTATATAACTTTGCCAGAATGAACAGGCACTGCTGACTTCTTGCCTGGACAAGTGAATAGTCCACGCCCTCACAGAATGACGAAGACAGGAAAGAAATCTTGCATGATCTTGTGAATATAGAATATTGGACATTCGATCCGTTTCCATGGAGAACATTTGCCCAACTGTGACCTGCTACCTCGTGGACGTACCTGGATTCGGCCGTTTTCGTTATTCCGTCGGCGACCCGTCAGCAGGTCCAGGAAGGTTGTCTTGCCGCTGCCACTGGGCCCCATGATGGCGATCAGATTGCCTGGGTTGAAGTACGTGCTGATGCCGTGCAGGATTTCCTGGCGGTCAACAGAGGGAAATGGTATGTTAAGCTGCCTATTTTTCCTAGGATATATGTAGCTCGCCGCTATACGCTGCATCTGCCACCCTGGTAGCTCAGGCATGGTGGTGGCCTGACCCAAGCGAAACTTCCTAAGCTGATTGTGTTTCTCAAGACTATGGTATAGCAGGTTAAAACGGAAAGTGTGAACTGTTTTTTTTTTTACATGTGGATGTGATGTCAACACTAGTATTACTTTTTCTCAGTGGTTTCCCACTGGGTTATAACAGGCACCAGTGCACAAGACAAATCAAGAACTAGACTGATGGAAAAATAACTGAACACAGCTGATCCAAGGTGCTGTGATGGATCTGGGTCTTTGGTTTCAGCGCTCTACACTTACAACAAAAGCACAGGCAGCAGCATAAAAGGGTGTGTACGCATGTGCCCCCCCCCCCCCTCCCCCAACACACACACACACACACACACACACACACACACACACACACAAACAAGCCTTTGATGTGAGTTTGGTGGGTCGACTATTGGCTCAACTTTTCAAGCGGCAACAAACTCCACGTTCCACAGCCCAAGCGTCGACTTACTGTTTGATAGGAGCTACCAGCGCAGCCTACACATCCATCCCGTTGAGACATGTTGGCTATGCTAGGTGACAAGCTCGTGTCACGGAGCAAGTTGCCGTCCATACCAGCACTTGGACCATTCCCCACATCTGTCAGCATAGACAAAATGAGGCACGTGATAGATTTTCAGCTAAACTATCTGAAATAATCTTCGCCTCACATCCAGTTGCATGGATACGGTCTTGTATCAGCTACATGTCTGGACATACCCTGACCAGCCACATGTTGCGTATCACAAAGCCGCCCTAAAACAGATTGGTGAATACTCTGAAGTGCTAGGGTGAACAAGAATCTATATCACTAGACGTTCTTGCTCTACGTATACCGCATACAGAGAGACATGGACAACTAGGGCAACAGTACATGAATTGAGGGGTATTTGCCACTACTATTTGGCTGCAGCCAGATTTCACTATCCGCCGCCGCCATGAGATCATGAATGTAGTCTCTGATGTACATATTATTACATACATACTTGTACAGCATACCACCTCACTTTGGCTCTTCGCCACCTCTTCCTTCCTTATAAGGCCCATCAATCAGTACTTATACCGTACTAGATCAATGAATTGAAGAAGGGCAAGCAGCAGCATTCGGCCTTATACAGTGTTTGCCTCCATCAACCAACACACCATAACCGTGCTCTCCAGCCGACCTCGACATGTTGCCACAGATCATCATCAGCAAAGTGACACATCTGTTGTGCTGTGGCATCGTGTCGAGGTCGGCTGGAGAGCGCAGCTGTGCTGTGGTGGCTGATGGGGGAAAAGAGATCTATGAACTCAGAAATATTCTACAGAGAACATGCATGCGCGGATACTTACTGCCAGCAGATGCAGCCATTGCCTCCATCAGAGCTTCCTCCTGTATGCGCAACTCTTCCTCTGCTTTGCGAGACCACATGCGGAAAGCGGCGGGCGAGAGGTGAGCGTGGTACTTGGTGTCCAAGCAGGCAATGCTGATACGCTCGTTGTCTCGCAGGTAAGGGATCTAGCAGACACACACACACACACACACACACACACACATACACACACAGCAGCAGCAGCAGCAACACAAGAAGAAGCAGCAGCAGCATAGAACTAAGTCTTACTCGTTTCACTATGTATACAGCACGAGGCGGCGGAACCGCTTATGGGTGCCGTGTATGCCGCGTGAGTCGCCAGTTTCCATGACTTGGCTTGAGCTGGTGCATGGCTGTACTGTGGCTTTACCAAAGCTTCTCTGCTGACAATAGGGAGGTTTAGTCTCACGTAATCCGTGGGTACTTTATGTGTGTGTACCACGTGATACTCAGTGACCCACGTACAGACGTTTTCTGATTCACGACATACCGTGTACGGAGGTTCACCCACGTTCCGCCAGAACGTGGGTGAAAATCAGAATGGAGCGCATCGTGCGAGCTGTGAGGGTGCTCGGCTGAAGAAGTTTCCGAAGCACGAAATCAAAATATTGGATGTGCTTCTTAGGCCCGGGTAGCTTTGTCTTTGACCAGGTTTGGGCCTTTCACGTCATGCTTTTGTTTGTTCCGTGTGACTAAACACAACATTGCAACGTGGGTTCCCCTCATCCACTTTACGTGGATCACCCACGTACGCGTTTCCGTTACCGTAGGAACTAAACCTCCCTATTACAATCGCATAACCCCTACAATGGACCTCCATGAAACACAGTAGGGAGCTCACCTTATCCGATACTATATTTATTATCATTAGGCAAATCAGTCTGTTTCCCAGCGACTTTAAATAGAAGTAATCAACCAACCTGTCGTGCCGTCCTCTCTTGTGGCCAGGTTGTCCTGAGGAACTGCTCCTGCTGCTTGAGAAACCGGTACTCCTTGGTCTTCATGACCAGCTTGTAGACAATGCTGAGCATGGCGATGCCACCGGAGATACAGCAAAGGATGACGGTGGCCAGCTGCTCCGACCAGACGCCCAGATTGAGTTCGCCGAGAGCAATCGTCTCGGGACACGACGACGGTGGCGCTTCCTCATCGGACGATTTCTTGCTGGTGCACTGCACACCCTTGCAACTCTCGCGAAAACGCAGCACCGGTACGCCACTATAACCACCGTTATCATCGCCGCCGGTAGCATTCAGGTAGAGGCCGTTGTACCACGTCACAATGGCACACCGCAACGATATGTGGTCTCGTGGAACGGCGGCATCTTCTGTGCAATTCACTGACATGTTATCGGAGCTTGGAAGCACCACTTTGCTCCAAAGAGTTTGTGATATCGTCTGACTGTAAGACGACACGGCAAGAGAACGAGAATGCACGGCCAAAGTATTAGTTTTTGCACCCGTGCAATTTGCAATGGTGAAGAAAATCAAACGAAAAGAAGAAAGGACCAAGGAACTACCGGTTACGCTATACTGTCCACTAACACCACTAGTTACTAAGCAATCAGCTCATGCGATAGCATTGCACGGAACTGTCCAACGGTGCTGATGTTCTACAACTAACTGCCAATCAGCTCCAGCACGTCTTGGAGGCGCATTCCAACTAAAAACCTTCCAAGTTGAAAGGCTGTTGGAGTGCGCCTCCAAGACGTGCTGGAGCTGATTGGCAGTTAGTTGTAGCACATCAGCACCGTTGGACAGTTCCGTGCAATGTTATCGCATGAGCTGATTGTCAAGTAACTGGTGGTGTTAGTGGACAGTATAGCGTAACTTGTACTTGTTGTATTCTTTATGGTAAGTCCAAGAGCTCCTTAGTCCATTTTTCTTTCCCATAAATTTATCCTTGGCTCTCCATCCAAAATCATACGAGTTTGCCTGAAGCAACCGTGTAGCCTGTTGACAACCTGAGGCCGATTAGCAAAGTATGTGAAACCATTTCACAGGCACCCTATTTCAAGACCATGATCCATTAGTACTCCCTCCATTGACTCACGCTACGCTTTTAAATGGAAACATTCGAAAACACAAGTGCTACAGTACTGTGCTCAAGTCAAAACAGTGCACATGGAAACAGTGCACATGGAAACAGTGCACATGGAAACAGTGCACATGGAAACAGTGCACATGGAAACAGTGCACATGGAAACAGTGCACATGGAAAGAGTGCACATGGAAACAGTGCACATGGAAACAGTGCACATGGAAACAGTGCACATGGAAACAGTGCACATGGAAAGAGTGCACATGGAAACAGTGCACATGGAAACAGTGCACATGGGAACATCTCTGTTCTGGACACCCAGTGACCAGGCATATCTGATGGTAGCGATGTTCTGGTAGTAGAGTGCCTCATCACTTGAAAACTTGACTAGCTAGGTGCGGAGGTGCTACGAGCGTATTTGTTGACAAGCGCACACAATGGGGCGTTAACGGTTTCTCTGTCAGTCTGTCTGTCTGTCTGTCTGTCTGTCTGTCTGTCTGTCTGTCTGTCTGTCTGTCTGTCTCTCTCTCTCTGAAATATATACCGTAAAGGGGAGTCCGACATGCTATGGTCATCATGGTATTGACCGTACCACTTCTTGCCGTGAGTATTCATTTTAAACGAAATCCCATGATATGATTGCTGGCTCTAACATTTGCCATATTTAGTGGTGTGCCCCCGGATAGGCACCTACAGTTATGGCTGATCATACCATCCTGAAATACTACCTTCCAACACCCCTGCGCCACTGAAGGGTTTGGAGTTCTAGAGTTACTAAGCGGCATAGCCTCAACCCCATACTTACTTGAATTGTTCTAGAGTTACTGTACACCGGGCATAGCCTCAACCCCATACTTACTTGAATTGGGAGTGCTTGAACCCATAGGTTTGATCTCGCATGCTGCGGCCGAGAACGCCGTCAGGGTCCCAGAGAGAGCTGGTAGCCAGGTAGACGTGTTGCAGGCAGGACGGCACGAAGAAGCTCATCAAGTCGTAGCTGAGGCCGTAGTCCAGGCTATAGTTCATTGCCCCGCCGTACTCGGTCAGAAAGCGCAGCGACTTGGTGATCTTCGTGGCCGACGGCTTCGATTTATCCTCGGCGCTGTTGCTGCTGGGCAGCTGGCACTTTGTAGTACCGCCCGGGCCATCGTCATCAGTCTCGTCACCAAGCGACTGAAAGTACAGCGACGGGATGTAGCCGTCAAACATGCTAAAGACCGTGAACAGCGGTATGTTGGTGAAGGACGGTTGCTGCAGAATACACTGAGTGGCCATACAGCATGGATAGTCGCTGGTCAGCGCTCGATCGCAGTAATTGTACTCATGGTTTCCTCTCGGTATCCAGGGCATGTCCTCCTCCCGACCCAGCGAGTTATCAAAGTTGATGAACCACTGCGAGTCGCCGAGCACCGACACAGGAGGTGGACTGCCGGTGCATTCCGTGTCCAGGAAACTGCGTAACCATGGCGACAGGGCCACGGCACCAACACCGCCCGCGCTGCTGCCGGCTAGGAGTACCATGGACGCGGTGCACAGGCGATTGCCCACGTCCCGCGCCATGGCGTCCCGGATCACCGCCTCGAAGATATGCCGGCCGCGGAAGGTCAGGTTGCGGACAAGCCGAGTTCCAAGCACCGTCATATTCTCATTGGATCCATCCTTTAGATGCCTGGTCAAAATTGATCCATGCTTGACTACAATATCACGTCTGCTTTGAGCCTGCGCACAATTGATCTCTTCCTGATCATAGCCTTGCCAGAGATCGCTGGAGCAGTAGGGTATCAGTATTCGATGAGTGCAGTTGACCGCGAGGCCTTTCGTCTTGCCCGCGAGTAATCCATACCCGGTGACGTTGCTCGGCCACTTGGACTCCGTCGTGTCGTTCGAGCTCATCAAAAACGGCGAGTCGATGTAGCGCTTTGCGCAGCCGGCATCGCTCTCGCACAAGCCACCTCCTTCCAGGAATATTGTCCACGGTGCACTGTCATAGCACTCACCAGCACTGTCTTCACTGCCGGCAACACTCAGTGATGTGTAATAGTGGGGCAAAGAGTAGTCGTTGCAAAACGCACCATAGTCGATGGCTGCCTTTTCTCCGATCCTCACACGCTCCAAATCCACCGACTCAGATGGAGAAGCTGGGCGTATATAGCCCGCTAACAGGGCAACTATCAAACAAATAAATGCGCGCCCGGTGGAGGCGGTCGTTGGACGTAGCATTGCGACGAGTCAGCTCTTCACGCGGCTGCTTCTTTCGCCGTCCTGACCGGCCGTCGCACTGCCGTGCTTGGGGTGTTCAACTTCTCAGCCAGAACTGACCTTACTTCTCTGCTAAGACTCGTTCATCTTTCCGTCTTCGCGTGGACGACCCCCGCTAGTCCTGCACTTCTAGTTCTACCACGAGGTGGTTCTCGCGGTCGAGTTATTTTCACCAGCGGCAATGATACCACGATGCTGCTCTGCCCTGGACCCTCCACAGAACCAGCACTGATTATGAGCACGAATTCGGCAAAACTGGGAAACTGCTCACACACAGTAGAGGTCGGACGAGAATGAACCAAAGCAAGCGAGTAAGTCCTCTCAAAGAAACCACTCGAAACCACCCAGCGTCTGGAGTCACGGACGTCGCGCCGATCCACACAGTCGCCCCTCACCTGCGAAAATATCCCAGCCCAAGCACGTGTGGCAGTAGTGTACTATCTGCTCCGATTGTTGTGAATGATTAGCTTATCCGGTATCGATCCCCGTACTGATAATTATATTCGGGTAGTTCTGTTCTCGCAGTCTACTTCTACTGCTATAAGTATAAGGAAGTCTTTACTCGAGGTTGTGTAGCACTAGCAGGAGACGATCCAACCAACAGCGAAAGGTAGATCTACTGGCTGAATGAGCGTTGGATGGCCAGACTCCCTGATGAAAATGCTGATGAGCGGAACCAGGAACACCTGTGCAATAAAGCCGGTCGCTGGGAAGATTTCAGAAGACTGCAGCTACATGCGAAACAGTGTCAGTGCGGCAAAAAGTCTGACTTGGCACCAGCATGTGGTGGGGTCATGGCATGTGCACGTACGTGGCGACTCTGCTGCAGCGCTGAGTCTGGAACTGCAGAAACCTGCGATGCCGCTCCTGGCCTGACGATGATGATACGAGCGAGGTGACGAGGATACCGTTGCTGTTGCACAGGGAGTAGATCTACGAGCTGGGACGCACGCCGAACACCGCAACCGAGCGAGTACAGTAGGTTCGTGTGGAAATAATTTAATTGAGCAATGACGCAGGACAATCTCACCGGGACACACGACTCAGGAGAACTCAGTCCTCCGGCTAGGCTAGCGCTGTTGCTGCTCAATGCCCTCGGTCCTGTCAAGTGCGACGCTGCCAGGTCTGTGAATTCCGCCTGTCTGCTGTCTGTGAACTCACTCGTCTAATGTCTAGCGCTGGAAATACGACTTATAATATTTCCTCAACTCTGGCTTTGCCCCCGTTTCCCTTGCTTGAACTGGATGGAGTGCATTACAGGAAGAGTCTTTATCTTTTCTCTTTCCTTGAGCGCACCTCCAACTGATTACCTGTGCTTCGCCTTGGGCTTCGGTGCTGTAAACATGCGGTCTTGCTTGCCGACTCTTTTCTCGACTTAGCTTCTTGGCGATGAGTTGTAGGCTGGAGTTAGGGATTGCTCTGTCCAAACATTGGCTGTTCGTACTGACTGGGCTGTCAACGAACCGTCGCGTGCCTAAACAGTCACAGACACTTGGTCTTTCACTTTTCAGTGTTATGTGTACTACTACTAGTACTTTCAACTAGAAGGTCTACGCTGTCTGGAACTCCAAGTCTTGCACTCCCGCACTGTGGCCAGGAATAGACTGTTTGACTTCGCGGAGACATCAGACTACTAGTATTATATCTTGTCAACCACTGCGCCCTGTGGCAGTGTGATGCTTTCTTGCACACAACTAATTATTTTGCCAAGGAACCCTGGCTGGATCTCTACCGACGTCGTGCAAATAACCCTGCAAACCACTAGCGGTAGGTGATAAATGTAGCATTGGTTACCGCAACCGTCTGCCATCCGTGACGATTAACAGAGGATGACAAGTAATAGCTTGACAACGAAGGTACAAACGAAAAGCAACCACCCTGGATGAAGGCCAATCACAGGGGGTGACAGCTGATGAACGCGAAGATCAATCACGCTTGGGCAGCCAGGGTGCAGAAATATTCACCTTCAGTGTCAGTCTTCACCATGGCTGATAAGAAAGAAAAAGAATTCGACGGGTTCGCGTACCGGGCAGGTCAAGAACAAGGAGTCGTACAACTCCCTGGTCAACAACCACTTTTCCGCTTCCGTGGGACGCCACCACCCCGTGATCAGATCATCATGATCATCATGATGGCTGATAACCTTAGTAGAGAGTTAGAAACAGTCCACTATGGTCCACGCTACTAGAAACAGTCCACTATATGGTCCACGCTTTGCACGAGAGTAGGCTGGCGCGGCCTAAATAATGTAGCTCCACCCATAACCGAGACTTAGGGCGCGTTCGAATTGTCTTCATCAACTGTTCTAACAAATTTTATAAAGAGATTAGTTGAAGTGTCCCATTAGAACGGTTTCTATCATTAATTATTTTTAGAGTTTTTCAGTGGAATTGTCATGGCGATGATGACGTCCATTCAGATCGACCATCTCCACGAACAGGTACTACAGTACGTGACGTAGCTCTTCCAAACTCTTCGAAACTAATTATCCACCTTCCCATCGGATGAGTTTCGAGGAGTTTCGAGGAGCTTCGTTTTTCTGAAGAGGCCAATAAGGCCACCTCTTCCGAAAAACGAAGCTCCTCGAAAAGTCAAAGAGTGACAATTCGAACGCGCCCTAAGGATCATGAACTACACATCTACACGTATCACAACAGTGACATCTATCGACGTGTCGGAGTACACGCTAAAGGTAACGCCATCATGAGTAGACGAGTCTACCTTTGAGTTTGGTAACACCCCTGCCCGTGTATGTGTGTGTGTGGGGGGGGGGGGGGAGTCACCGAATGGGTCACAGGCTCGTTCACACGATCACACCTATTGAGACGTGGACATAATCATTGATCTCTGTCAGAGACTCTGATCTTCTGATTGTACACGCCTCAATTACCCAGTAAATCTGTCATGTAGCCTTGTAGGTGCAGATATTCATACTTCGAAGTAAGTTGAGGGTGTTGAAGAGGGAAAGTCTGAAGAAAAATATCTTCATCGGAGCGGCCTGCGGCCGTGAGAGGTTATGAACGAAGGAGGAGTACCGAAGCGAGATGTTTGGGCAGTTGACTTGCGCGCCGACATTGCGGATTTTGGCTTGCCTTCATAAAAATGTTGTTCTTGCTAGCTGTACAATACAGGATCTGGTACTGTACAAGTACACGTGTCGACTTCGTGTCATCTCAGTCTGGACAATTATTTTCTTCTTGTGGTCCCGGTTGACGATCGTCACGGATTCCCACCTTCCACCTTCCGCACTTTTATTTTTTATTTGGCCAATGTTTAACTACTGTCACAAAGCCTAAGGCGGCCAGTGATAGATTTAATAGAGGCGACGAGACCTGATCACGACTCTGGCCCTGGGGGAGTACCACGAGTGAGTACTCCGCTGGAATGCACTCAGGCTCTGGCCGGCAGTAGTGCTGCTCTACGACATGTACGATGACTAATAATCACATCTTCTGTTTTGTTCTCGAGAAACAAAGGATGATGAAGTCTACCGGTGTAGATCTACGAGATGGTCGAGATCTTCCTGGTTTCGTTGTGAACTGCTTGCTTGTGGCTGCACTCGATGCAGATGGTTGTTGTTGTTGTTGTTTTTTTATTTGAATTCGCAATACCAAACGGGCAATAAGCCCAATTACATGGAAGCGAATAAAAGAATGCTAAGAATGAGGCATTGGGGTGGATGTTATTTCAAGTGGAAAATACTGATCCCGGGAGGTACTACAAAAAGTTGTTGGTTGAGATGATCAATATGATGGTGTATACTTGTGCAGCCATCTACTACAATACTGTACTCGTAGTTGTCATAGTACAGTGAGTAGAGACCTTTCGAACGGCTAGCCTAAAGTAGCACGTAACGTCGTTAGTTAGCGAGTAGGACACCAAACCCACCAGGCAGGAGCAGTCGTAATCATGGTACACGATTGATAGTAAAGCCACTCTTCTACAGACAGTTTGTAGTGCTTATACCAAGAGTAAATAATAAGCTTCAGGGAGCTTACTCTTGATGTTACATGCAATGTAAAATTTAGAATAAGCCTGTTACTGTACTACTAAAAGTCTACTACATGACTGTACAGTGTATGTGATGGGAAGCAGGAAGTAACATACCGCGTAATGAGTTCACATAATCATTCCTTCATCAAGTCGCTCTGCAGCTAAAGTTGCGCAGACTGCCATGCCGCCGTGTCGGTTTTTGAAATAATAATTTTAGAAATACCATTCGGGAATCGGGACGCAGGAAGCGCAGGGTAGATAAAGCCGTAACACTTGACGTAGGACGATAACGGTTATTTGTAGTTCCTGCCAACTTCCTGGTCGCCATGCCCAAGATTGACTGCAAGCAAAAGCATCGCTATTTTTTCCTCGCGGATATAATTGTCTGCCTGGATTACATGTAGTTCGAGCCCTGGTGGTGGCAGCCAATTATTCTTCAGACTGTTTCCCCTTTCCCAGCTCCCTCAAACTTATGGATATACATGTAGACGTTACATTTTCTATAATGACTTCCAATCTGGAACTTGTGGTCCGGAAGTGTATGTGTTGTGTGTGCACTCCTCCTGGATAGCTTGGCTGTGTCACTGAAGCGATGATGTGGCAGTCACAGGGTAGTAAGAAGGCTTTCCTTATCATTCTCGATCGATGTGATGCAAACGGCCGTTCATGAACATTGTGTTCAATATGTAAACTAGCACTGCAGATCTACATGTACCTACCATCCGTAGGTCTACGAGTACTGTTAGTGTTACCGTAACAGGATGCAACCCTGATGAATTGTGGCATAAAAGCTTCATTCGCTTCATCACCGATGATATCACGAGCCAGAGGCTGAGCGTTCCTTCTTCAATCCCGACGAATGCAGACAGATGTGCTCAACGGTCCGAGAAAGGTACTGCTAGCGGGAGATAACTATTGGGTCCGGCTGGGATGCCGCTCTGCAATGCGCAACCACATCTGGACATGACGCATACTAAGTATCGATGGACGTCAAACGCCCTGGCCTTTGCCTAGGCTTGGCACAGCTCTGCCAGGAAGGGAGGAATGTTACATTATTATAACGACCTACAATGTAAGATAACTGTTACTGGCTTGTACGGGCGGTTTGGTTTTGTAATGCGCTGGAGCCTGGAGGTCCGAGCATCAAAACTGCACCACTTCTGCAGATACATGTACACATGTACATTGTAGATCTAAATGTCTGACTGTCATTATTTCAACAGCCACCAGGCTTACATAAATTATCATGATCACGACCTGCGGGCTACAGTGGTTCAGGAAACGAGCTCACGGAAATGGGAAGAGGTGTGTGTGAAACGAACACAGATGGCATTCAGCCCCCTGGGTGCAGAGGCACGACAAAACTATTGCATTTCCCATGCAGGGACTACAATGACCGACTGTAATTACATTTAAAACAATCATGTCTCTATTAGATCGGTTACGTTTCTTTGTCTACGCGTTTCACAGTACATGTATACATTGCATACAGAATCCACCAATATCTCTCAGCCTGGCATAAATACAGGCATAGCCAATGGCATCATAGCTCATTGCTAACTGCCTGATGATTGCATAAGCATGAAACTCAGAGTAGCGACTAACAAGCCTTGCTTGGCCTTTGTTGTTCTGCATATATTACAAAAATTATGCATAAAATTGATATGATGTGTCTGGTATGTGGTTCTGTGATGAATGCCGGAGTGGGTCCTGCGTCAACAAGGGCCACTGCCGGGGTCAGCGCAAAACAAGAAACAGATAGGAAGCTGCATGGCCAGACTTGTGTCTGACAGCTATCTGTAGTGCGATGATGTGCTTGCGGCCATTGTTTTGCGCGTCTTGCTTGCAGATTCTCCATGACAATGCTAGTAACAGTGACTTGGCCGTCCAGATCTGGCTTCAGGAAGGATATACCAAAGTCACAGGTGAGGCCGGGGTGCCAGCCCTACCCCCTTTAAGAACCCCGGTAAATGTATTAGTGACGTTGTGTATCTGATTGAAGAGAAGCTGGACTGGACATGGTTGTCTATAGTAAGTTACATGCAGATACTGCACTGCACCATGCTGTTGGAAACATGAACGGCGGACGCGACAAATGCACGTGCTGTGGTTCAACCCTTGTGCAATGGTGTGGTAGGGGACCTTCTGTTACTCCGGTAACTCAACAGCACTGAGTGCTACCAAAAGAGATACTCGTTGTGTGCAATGTCATGTACATGTACTTGTACTAACGTTAAGGTGAGAATGGTGGAGGGTGCACTACATGTCACCATGCATCATGTTAGTACACGTACAGATATGGGGCAACACACCCCAGCGCTTTCACCATCTCAATCCGGTTTCTGCCGTGGAGACTCCACAACTTTCCAACTAACACGTCTAGTACAAGACATCTACACCCAGCGGAACCTCAGGCGGCATGTTGGCATCGTGTTCTTTGACCTAGCGAAAGCTTTCGACACCGTCTGGCATCGTGGTCTGCTTGCAAAGCTAGAGTCCGTCTTCTTGGTACACGGTCCAGCCCTGCAATGGCTCTCATCCTATCTTTCCTGCCGCC